AAACACATGTTTTAAAAAAGACAGAGCAAAAGATGGACCTGGCGATCTCCTAACGGACAATACAGAAACGAAATCGATTTTATCTTGTCTAACCAACATAGAATATTCCAAAACATCGAGACGCTCAATCTGAACTACAATTCCGATCATAGAATAGTCAGATCAACAATAACACTAAACAAACAAAAAATATCAAGAGCCAAGTTTACAAACAGCCAAAATAGCAAATTAAAAAGCGAAGAGGAAATAAGTAAGTTCAACGAAAACCTAATATCACAGCTATCTACAACTAGCTGCGAAAACACCACGGTACAATACTGCTACGACATGATAGAAAAGGCTATCACTTTTAGCTTGAAACAAGCTCGCCCAAAGAGAGAAGAAAATAAACAACATAAAAATACTATCGGCAAGTACAGTAAGGCTACTAAAAAAGAAGGAAGGAACTACAGAAAACTAAAAACAAATCACGAAGTCAGAAAAATGAATTGTCCGCAATATACAAAGTAGTCAATAAGTATATAAAAGCAGACTACAAAAGATATAGGAAAGACACAATAAAAGAACATCTACAAAGAAATGGAAGTACAAAGAAGGCCTATAAGAAGCTCAAAACTAATGCATCATGGATAGAAGGACTGAGGAAAAAAGATACAGAAATGTACACTAGAGGCGACATCATATCTACCGCAACAGAATTTTATAGACATCTTTACAGAAACAGAGACACGAAATCATTTAATCTTGTCACAGAAACAGATGCTACACCTAGAAATAACGTTAAACTCATAGACGCAACAGAAATAATTGAAGCAATAAAGAAACTGAAACTAGATAAAAGCCCTGGTTCAGATAATATTACGAACGAAACACTAAAAATTGGACACAAAACTCTAGCACTGCCGCTAGCGGAACTGTTTAACAAGATCTTGCAAGAGTCGGAAACACCTTCCCAATGGTCCAAATCCAACATCATACTAATTTACAAAAAAGGCGACCCGAAGGATATCGGAAACTACCGACCAATCAGCTTGCTGCCGAGTCTATATAAACTTTTCTCCACAATTATAAACATAAGGATTAGAGACACATTGGAAAAAAAACAGCCAGTGGAGCAAGCAGGCTTCAGAAGGGGCTTTTCAACAGTCGACCACATCCATACCCTTGAGTTGATAATGGAAAAGTATCAGGAAAAACAAAGAACACTCTATATATCATTCATAGACTACCAAAAAGCCTTTGATACAGTAAGACATAACAGCATCTGGGAAAGCTTGAAAGAACAGGGAGTAGAGGAAATATATATAAAAATCATCAAATCCATATACAAAAACAATAAAGGTAAAATTAAGCTTGAAACATTAGGCCCTAGTTTTCCAATAGAACGAGGAGTAAGACAAGGGGACCCGCTGTCTCCAACAATATTCATAGCTGTTCTTGAGTCGATCATTAGCAAAGCTAGATTGGAGTAAACAAGGTCTATACATAGACGGTACCTACTTGAGTCACCTGAGATTCGCGGATGACCTAGTACTGTTATCCGGAGTCATCTTCCCAACTACAGAGCATGGTAGAAACCCTGAACCAAGCTAGTGGAAAAGTAGGCCTAGAGATGAACATTACAAAAACTAAGACAATGACAAACAGCTCTCAAAGACCAATAACAATCAATAACAAACCATTGGAATACGTTGAAGATTATGTCTATCTGGGAAAAACCATAAGTTTTCACAGAAAAAAAAAATAAAAAATACAGAAATAGAGAAAAGAATAAAATTAACATGGAACAAATTTTGGGGTCTCAAGGAAATTTTTAAAGGTGATCTACCACAAGACATTAAAACCAAAGTCATGAATTCAAGCCTCTTGCCTTGTTTGACATATGGTTGCCAAACGTGGAAATTCACTGCTGAAACAAGAAAAAAGATAATCGTCTGTCAGAGAGGACTCGAAAGAAGTATGCTAAAGATCAGAAAATCAGATAAAATACGCCATACTAAAATAAGAAAAATAACCAAAGCAACAAATGCTTTAAGCTACGCAAAAAAACTGAAATGGAAGTGGGCAGGACATGTTGCCCGGCTAACTGACCATAGATGGACTAAAAAAGTAACTTTCTGGAAAGGCCCACTAGGCAAAAGAACAAAAGGTAGACCTATTACGCGATGGGAAGACGACATTAAAGCGATAGCTGGTCGAAATTGGGAGTGAAGTGGCCGAGGACAGAGATAAATGGGCGTCACTGGAGGAGGCCTACACCCAACTTGGGGTTCCAGTAGATTAAGTATTTAAAAGGAATATATATGTATATATTTTTTAACTAATATAGATTAATAACATGAACTAACACTAAAAATAAATTGTAAAAGTGTAAACTTATATAATACTGGAAATAAAAGGCTTTTTTATTTTTATTTTATTTTATTTTTATGGTTTTCCATAAAAACTCTTTCAAGCTGTAATGATGGATCGAGGCCTTTCTATAAACTTATTGAGTAAACGCAATATGCACCAACAGCATTGAAGGCTGTTATTGACGCACCCAGAAAATGCTTGAATTGTTAACAGACCCCAGCGGAAAATTCGCGAATTAGCTGCACGTCGAATTTTGAAAGTTCAGCTCATGTTAGATCAGCAATATTAAAACCACTGTGTCTTTTTCAGTTACCAAAGATTAAATTTGACGCAATAGCATACTACGACCTTTTGAATTGGCAGAAAAGTTTTTACTGGACCACCGGTATTAAAATCTGTTACCGAAAAAAAATTTTATTTATTGAGCAGAAAGGAGAAGGAGAACCGGATTTACTACGTCTATCTTGTCACACTCAAGCAGTAGAAAGAGCCGTTAAAGCCGTGACAGAAGTTTCAGCCACTATATGCGATAAAACATCAAGAGAGGGATTCATAGACGCCCAGCTAGATTGAAGGAAAGCGATGCGAAAATTCGACAGCAAGAAGGATTTTTAACGGCACCTAAACATTTCAATTAAATAATAATTTAGCTAATGAGAATAGTTATTACTCTATTTTAATATTCTTCTATTAATAAACAAAAGATTCTTATGATTTTCGGTCTTTATATTAAAAACAAAAGATCTTTGCTTGTCAATATGCAATGGCCCTTTTTTACTATATTTCTTTAATTTTCACATGACTCCGTAGGCAGAAGATTAATTCCGAATGCTATCAAACTCCGTATTCTATTTACAGTCACCATTTAGCACCTTTTAGTCACTGTGCTCCTATAAAAACCAAACTTTTTTTTTCTTCATACATATTTGACCCACCCTAATGGGCAACTAAAATTGCTCAATTCCAGTCAATACTCGTCAACTATGACGTCACGACTTTTTTTTTTTTTTTTACTTGGGGAAATGCATTGCGCATACCCTACCGCGGTGCGACTGCTTAGTGCGGGAGGGTTATGTGGGACTCGCGAATGTGCATACCCACTAAAACCCCAAGGCGCCACCAACAATCGCCTTAGGCAGGCAAGCATCAAGCAATTTACGGCAACGGCAACAAGCATCAATACTGCGCAATACAATATTGAGCGATATGGCGCAACTTTATCTACTAGGCAATACTGTCCTACACGAGCATTTCAGTATTCGCTCGCTATAGACGACATTGTTCTTGCTGCGGCGGCTTGTAGCGCTTTTTTTAATATTAATCAAAAACAAAAAAGAAAGAAAAGGAATAGGCTTATCTTGGTGCGATCGTTTTTGGCAGAGGCCGCAATTTACATTGTGTTAAGAATTAGATGATATATTATTCAAAAACTTTACTAGAATGTCACGAACAGACTTTGAATTACTTTAAAAAAAAGTAATTAGAAATTATTATTATTTAGACCTCTCGCTCTCCCCGCGGAAGCAAGACGGCAAGCCGCAAAACAAACAAGTGCGAATGGGATATATACAAAAATTGCTAGGAATATCCAAGTCCATTGGATATTCGTCAATTCGTATCTGCGACATTGAGCGATATGAAATATCTGGAGCAATTTGAAGCAATATCGCCGAAATAATATATTAAAATTTATTGAATTTATTGAAGTTGCTCCATTAATTGCTCCAGATCTGTCCATTCGTGACGCCGAGCAATTATTGCCCTCGTGTAAGCGCACCTTTAGGAAATAAAATTACACCAATTGCTAGAGGCTTTTTGGATCTCGGTACATTTCTATTTCATATTCATATACATACATACACCTAATTATATAAGTATTTATGTTGTATGTATAATGGCCCTGTAGTAGTCATTGTATGACCCTAGTATTATTTTCTGTATAACTTGTCGTTATTGTATAATTAAATTAATTAATCCTTTAGACGCGAACCGAACACCTTGAGTGGAGTAGATCCGTGTTAATTTATTAATTGCCTCACCCGAGGGAGAGCTATAAACAACGAATCTCACTTAATTTACGAGCAAATTATGCTTTACTTAAATATCAATTTAATTAAGTGAAGTTCGAGAAGGATCTCGGCTTGCGCCCGGCATTCATTTGTCTTTGTCATGGATCAATAAGCTGTTAGTACATTGAATAAGGGATAAATACAATTAAAATTGTTATTGGGGTATAAACTGTGATCACTTATTAATTACCTACTATGTAAAAAGAATGTGAAATAGAAAATTCAACAGATTGTCGTAAATAATGATATTTAAGTGATATTTTTTATCAACCACCTTTTCAATTTTTCCAATTAAGTTTTGTAACGTTTTATTACCAACGAAGACTGACAGCATATAGTCTACGATTTTTGCATGCAAATAGAATTTAATAGTGTCAAACTAGTCTACCCTGCGCCTTTAAATGAGATCGTGCTTAATATCGTGCGTGCGAAATACACAATAAGTGAAGCAAATCATCGTGTGGAAAGCGCATTCTATACTGATAAATACAAAAACGAGTTGATCAATTAAATAGACATAGAAACATGTCATCATGCTCCCTTGGGGAATTCTTTATTACACGACATAAACATTAGGCTTCCTGTACACACTCCTAGGTCTACTAGTCAGTGGAAGTGGCACTCCACTCGAGCCATGCCGCGTGGCGCCTTACGTAGCTGTACCGCGGCTTGGATCCGTCCCCGGTGGACAAAGACCGCCACCGCCTCCGATACAACTCGCACCGCACCCTTCACCCACGGCTTTCGCGCCATTCGATTCGGCCCTTTTATCAGCTGCAGCACATCAGGTATGGTTTCAATTATTATAGTTCATAGACTCACATAAATAAATGGAATGGAAATAAACGTTTTAACTTGTTAGGTTCTTTATAAATACTAAACTGTTTAAATTTTTTTAACCCTGCTGTAAACGAAATGTTTTCTACACAGTATGCAACTGCAGCAGCAGCAGCAGCCGCCGCAGCATTGTGTCCGCCATACGCAGGATTTGCAGCGCTTGCAGCGCGATGTAGATCCTCCTCAATCGCTGACCTGCGTCTTAAGGCAAGGCGACACGCGGCCGCACTCGCTGCTGCTCGTGGATCTACACCACCACCTTCAACCCCAACGCCCGCTGCTGCTCAGTCTCCCGCTGATACATAGCCCACAGCTTGTAGCTGAAGATACAACTAAATAAAAGAAATGAGCGGTGCCCTGTTCATCATTTTTCAGTTAATATAAATTTTTATTATTTCGGTGTGTTCAAAAGTATTTTTAAAATATGTCATATGCGTAACAATAAGCATTATTTAAATAAGGATTACTTATAGTTATCATACGGTAAGAATATAATTCCCTATTAAGATTGAATCCTAAAGATAAGTATACTCTGTAAATATGTTTCAAACATCTTCATTGGTCTGAATTTCTCGTTCCTTGTAGATATTAGTTTGAGCGAATGACCAAAACATTTAAAACACTAATAATTGTAAATGAATATAATCTGTGATAAGTGTCAGAATGTGAAAACGGGACATGATATGAAATATCCCAATACTTAGGTTACTTCCTAATTAATATTTATACTCTACTATTTCTGACTATATTATTAATTAATGAGTTTTGTAAATAATATATACTTAAAACAGACTTGTGATTGTAATGATTGCTTTTAGCTATGTAAGTTTATATTAAATTATAAGTTAAATGAGCGTTTAAATAAAATACCATATCCAATATTGGCAAATACAGATTATTTTTCATTAATATGGCTAGTTGATAGTTATAGTGGTGAATTATTTGAAGTGATTGTTCGAATCGATTAGTACTACGTATATACAGCATATTAGTTATATGTGTATCGTTAGTTGAAGTTAACATGAAATTAAAAATAATTAAATCAAAATTAATAATTTAAAAATGAAATTTGTTTAGTGTGTTTTTATTCAACCAATCTGCGAAAAACTTAAATAAGATTTTTTTTGATTTGGTACCAAAGTAGTTAATAAAACTTTTTTATTGCAAGAATTTAACTGCCTTAAGCTACGCTTTTCAAACATTTTCGATTGTAATTCTCTCTACCTCTTAATACTTTAACAATAAAAATAATAATGTGGGATTTCTTCTTATATCCTATACACAACTATCGTTTTAAGATGTCTACAAAAATATTGTAATTAAATTATAAACCCCTAATTGCCACTGAAAAGTTCAGATAAAAATGTGAGTATTGATCTTAAAGTATACAAAATATTTCTACTAAAAATATATTTAAAACACGTAATGTAAAAGTGCACACTGAATTTATAACAAGACTTTATCGAAATGCATTGCAATCGTAATTTGCTTGAAAGAGCGATGAATACACAACGAGAAATTTATAGAAAGCAAATAGGACGGTTTGTCGTTTACCCAAGCAATGTTCAAGGGAGAAAAGCGCGGGAAAGCGGTGTTTGCCCAAGCTGTTAAAAAAGCCCGCCCTCGCATTGGGTGCGCCCAATTAGGGCGACGACTCTGCTGATTGGATGTAATCGTGTTAGTATCGAAGATAAACACTGGCGTCGCGTCGCGTGCATGCTCCACAACGTCTTCATAAACACTAAGAAAATTTAAAAACACATGTATCGAGCCGAGAAGAGAATATCCCACCTACTGTAGAACGTTCAGACCGTCGAGTTATTTTAATTCTTATTCCATTAACGCACGCACCAATACAAGTTTCATGAAAAATAAAATAACAGATATTCTTTTAACGAATTTTCAAATAAAATAATACACAGATAATTAATTATGCATACAAGTGTATATCCGTATATACGGTATAAAGCGTGAATAATAATTTCAATTATAAAAGGACTATTTCTCGTAGACCAAGTAATGCGACAATGCGAAGTGGTTGGCTAGTTATATTTTTGTGTCTATAACTGAATGTCATAGACAAGAGCTTGAAAAAAGTTCCTCTACTTTGCTTATGGTAGTAACTTGCTGAAAACACGGTTACGAATCAATGCGCCGTCAGCTGTTTTTATAACTCCTGCCAGATTACCGGTAAGTATTATTAGTTATTACTCGTGTAAAAATAAAATAAAAAAAAAAAAAAAAGGGTCCGTGTACTTATGTACGCGCGTAAGAAGTTATACTTCTTTGGCAATATTAAAAATAGTTTGGCTTTGTTCCACCTCCAGTTTTTGATGTTTCACAGCGATAAGATGAAAACTCTTTTTTTGTATTCAATTTAGTGCAGTTACACTGATTCATCAATTGTCTTTTGTCTCTTTTCCTTATATTTGCTAGATAAAATCAGGAAAATTACATGTTTTGATTAAACAATGTGGTTAATTTTTTAATCAAAACATTACTCGATAATAATAATAATACATACGGATAGTTAACCTCAATTGTATTGAAGCACTTAGGAAGGTTGATGAGCACAGTTTTTTCACAAATATTAATTAGTATTGGTTTAAATATTCAATTTAAATCACTTCTGATTATAATTCAAAAAAGCATCGCTAAATTTCTTTGAAAAAATAATTAAAACTCCTTTATTTGTTTAAAAGGTAAATGACAAATGTCATTATGGTCATTCAAAATTGTTGGCATACGAACTTCACGCATATTCTATTTCTTTTACTTGTAGATTGTCTTATTCCTATCTCGCTCGCGCACGCTATAATCACACTCCTAATTTTGTGTCACGGGTGCGCGCGCATTGTAAAATTTCACTCTCATAAATTTTTCATAACGCGCCTAAAGAAGTATAACTTCAAAAATAATCAGATAATCAGAACTTAATTATTAATTATCTAGTATCAATAAATTTTAGAAAAATATTTTAAGCAAGAACCTTTTTTTATATGTTGCTTTAAGGGATACAGGTTGGATTTCGATAACTATTCTCCGAATTGGCGGGGTGCGCCAGCAACCATTGCTGCAATTCCTAAGAGTGAGGTTTGGGGCGCACTGTGGCTTCTGAATTATAGCGAAATGGGTGCACTGGATGAGTAAGGAAAGTCAGTCAAATACTATTGTTAAAAATCTTTGGCCTTGTGAGTAAGTGCTGGCTTAGTTAGCCAGGACTTCATTCACAACGGACCTATTGAGAGTCTAAATGCGGAAACTGAGTCCACAAACCAAAAACCTTTGGCCTTGACTTGACCACATTTTACAGCGCGTATATATATTAGTTATGTATTATTAAGATATTGCTAAATAGTTGTGCGTATTGCCTAAAGGCCAAGAAATATTAATTCTCCTATTTCACACATACATACATACACCTATTTCACACATTTAACATTACATAGTAAAAGTTAGTACTTGACCACAACAATCACGTTTCCTTATTTTTATGTCAGGCAAGAAGGTCTGAAGGATGGCCTATATGAAGCGATAGACGTCAAAGTATTAAATCTCAACAATCATGTAATAACAGCTAGGTCATATAAAATGACTAGTGATCCACCAAAAGTGCACCCCGAAGTATTACCACTACAAAGAAGACCCAGCAACACGTATATACAGGTAGGTATGTATATAACAGCATAAACAAGTGACTTGCTGAAAATAAATGCCAAATTGTGACGCTTGTCCATTGCGTCAGCAATTTTATAGTAATAATTTTTGTCCTAAGAGATTGTGGAATTTCTTTGAAAGCGCATTTTTTTAAGGAATCGATTCAGAAACAAGACAGCGCTAAGTCTGACTCTCGTACGTCAAAAAATTATTAAATTTTGCACTACTGTCCCACATTCTAAAACTGCAATCAAACTTAATTCTAGTTTCAAGCCGTCAAACCATTCTATCTATATTGAGTTTGACATATTTCACAGCGCTCGAGACGAGAATATGACCTGATAATATTAGTATAAGATCCCGCTATACAACGACCTTCACCGAGATGCTTATTTAATGAAACATATTTTATATTAAATTTAATATGTCAATAAATATAATCCATATGGGTTGTCTAGCAAATTTCAGTCCAGAGTATGTTTAATTAATAATTTTAAAAAATATTTTTTTAAACATTTCACCGGTATGATTATTAGATAAATTCTATACCAATCGAAAGTATGAAGCCCATAGAATATGCAAACTTTATGCTGCCCATTCTTTTCCGGTCACAACTATCGGGTTGCCTGGTATAAACAGGTAAATCTGTACTAGCATTTTGCAACGGTCTGTTTATTGAATGAAATTTAAATGAAATTAAAGATTATTTTATTCTGAACACGGTGGTATAGGGTTGTCTGCGAAAAATCAGTCCAGAATTGCGGTTGTCGAATTTTAAAAAGTAAAATATTGCTCCAAGTGAATGTGTGCGACTGAGAGGTCCCAACCGACCATCCCATGCGATAGAAGAGGACACAGCATAGCAGCTGTTAAAAGTCCGCCCACTTAAAGAATGAGAGTGCGCATGCTATTTGGGCTTGGAAAAGAAAAGGATAGCGATGGACTCGTATAATTATGCATCATTTTGGAGTAGTTTATTATTTAAATAGAGAAATAGTTATTTAATTTTTTTTTAATCAATTAATTATTTATGTGTAAATTTTTCATGTGACACTAAAGTATATATACATCTTTAGTAAAAAAGAAGGTTGTAGTGATTCATATATAATAATACCCTGATTAAAAATATTGATTGAAAAAAATTAAAAAATTTACCTACTACATGCAAATTATAAATCTATAAATGTAAACAGAGAAATTGAAATCAATTGAAACTATTGGAAAAAATTCAAAACCCATAAAAGTGAATTTTTTTAATCAGGGTAATCTTGCAAATTTTATTTTTATTATAAGAAGACAAAATAAAAAAAGGATGCGTGTACTTATGTACGCGCGTAAGAAGTTAAACTTCTTTGGCTTTCTTTATTTTTTTAAAATATTAAATTATTAATAACAAATATTTAACGTTAATAATATTTAATATTTAGTATATTATTCAATTATTAATTAATATTAATAATTATTTATTATTTTATTATATTATTCATTCAATTTAATAACTACGTATGTTTCATAACCTTTTAACTAAGTAACAATAGGTCTTTGTGAAAAAGCATTCCTAAATTTATTTGAAAAAATAATTAAAACTCCTTTATTTGTTTAAAAGGTAAATGTCATTATGGTCATTCAAAATTCTTAGCATAGCTGCTAACTTCACGCATATTCTATTTCTTTCTACTTGTAGATTGTCTTATTTCCATCTCGCTCGCGCACGCTCGGCGCCCATACTGATAATTTAGTGTCACGGTGCGCGCGCATCGTAAAATTTCACTCTCATCAATTTTTCATAACGCGCCTAAAGAAGTATAACTTCAAAAACAACAATTAAAAAATTACTTCTATTTATTGTAAAAAATTAAAAATACAATTTTTTTTTAATTATTCAGAATCCGAGTCATAGGACATAAAACTACGATCTTCAACTTCTGAATCTTCTTCGTCATCACTTTCTGTTTCACTTTTTTCGACAATGTCTTCTATCTTTAAAGGTGTATGATCCCCAATGAATCCTACTGGTTTTAAATATTCATCTAAGAACCGTCCGCAGGTCTCAGACTCAAATTTCACGCATTATATTGGGTCCGTTGCATTAAGCCACATGGAATTTACGAAAATAAAATATAAAATATATATTTTAATATAGAAATATAGAAGATGTATTAGCTAAGATAATTTTAAATCATAATAATTTTAGCAATACTTTACTTTTTAAAATTCGACAACCGCAATTCTGGACAGATTTTTCGCAGACAACCCTATACCACCGTGTTCAGAATAAAATAATCTTTAATTTCATTTAAATTTCATTCAATAAACAGACCGTTGCAAAATGCTAGTACAGATTTACCTGTTTATACCAGGCAACCCGATAGTTGTGACCGGAAAAGAATGGGCAGCATAAAGTTTGCATATTCTATGGGCTTCATACTTTCGATTGGTATAGAATTTATCTAATAATCATACCGGTGAAATGTTTAAAAAAATATTTTTTTAAAATTATTAATTAAACATACTCTGGACTGAAATTTGCTAGACAACCCATATGGATTATATTTATTGACACATTAAATTTAATATAAAATACGTTTCATTAAATAAGCATCTCGGTGAAGGTCGTTGTATAGCGGGATCTTAGACCATATGCAAATTGGCGTTGATTGAATTTGTATAAAAGGCAGATAATGTCTTCACTTTATTCGGAAAGAGATATTTTAATTCAAACTCACTATTATGAAATTATATATTTTAACTAATAAGATGTAATGTTAACTGCTTAGCACGAAAAGCAAACGTACACTTATCGCAGTATAGATATATAACGTATAAAGGAACATATGAAAAAGTATGAACTTAAGTCTCGTTTCTGAATCTCATCGTAAGACTTGGTCGAAATACCTTAGCCAGAACATATGGCCAATAATTAATAAAGCAACCTAGTTACTATAATGAAAATGCTAATGCAAATGCTTGTTGTAAAGCAGTGTTTCCCAACGTGGGCCCCACGCCCCACAATCTGATTGTTAAGGGGGGAAGTCGAAATCAGCTGGGTATAGCACAACGTGGAGACATGAGACTGAAGCTAACAAATTGGAACCTAATAAAAATGCTCGGTGCAGCAGTCATCAAGCGCAATGATCTTACTAAATTAATATAGAAGAATCTTTATTAAAATTATTAGGAATTATATTTTCAGTTTTTCATTGTTTTGAAAATTTACTTATTGTTTCGTTAACAATTTTCTAGTGATATCTTCCTAAAAACTATAATTTAAATTTATTAAAACAACAACAAAAAAAAAAAATATGTAAATTATGCATGATACATAAGAATTTTAAGTAATTTGGGGCATGGCGCAAAAAGGTTGGGAAACACAGCTGTAAAGCGTCACGAGTTGTTTAAACTTAAATAATATTAAGATAGCCTCAAATGAGCACCTTAAAGAGGTAAAGTGTATTTTCTTTAAAATGTGTGTTTCTCGGGTAAAAGACAATATAAAAGCAATATATGTTGCTTGGTTCTATAACTATCTAATAAAAGTCTAGTACATCCATTGTGTAGATAATATTCATATATACATATATCTATTTCGTCATTTTAGGTAATAGCTTTAGGAGCTTACCAATGCGGGATACCGTCTTACTACATAGAGTTCATCTACAGATTCCCAACAAATGGTCGCACTGCCACTGACAAACTCAGCCAGGAGCTCGGTTATCCCTTTAATGAAAATATACAAATAAGTTTGAAGTACTTTTTTGTTTTCTTGAAAAATAACAACGGTCCTTTTATAACCTCTTTCGGCACCACCCGGTATTTGTGCTAATCAGTGAGTGAACAGAGTGTCTTCCCTTTAATAGAGACTGTAAGTTGTGTTATTGGACACTTCCTTATGTTAAAAATCCTTCTTAGTACCTACCTAATAAAGAAAAATTAGGTTAGACTTAAGTTTGGCTAGATCGTAATGTTCCATGATGTCTTAGTAATGACACATATTATCTAATTTAAAAAACCCGATATTTGAACCCGAAACCTCAAGATCTGCAGTCAAACATACTGAACACGTGGTGGAGATAAACACCTTTTTGAAGTGAAACTTCTATAGGCGCATGAGGGTAAAATTTTTACGGATGATTCGTCATTTGAGATTTCAATAATATTAATTATTTTGCATAAAATATAAAATACTAATATTTCATAAATTCTCTTGATGAAATTTAAATTTTAAAAATAGAATTTCGTATATTTTCAATTTGTATATCTATTTTCACAAATATAGGTATACATGACACATACTTATGTAAAAAAATTATTACTGAATGTTTGTCGCGATACTCTGAGATCGTCCGTTCAAATCTATAGTCGAATTTTTAATTAGACGAAGTCAGATGACGTTTACGGTGTTGTCAGTTTTTAATGAAATAAAAATAGTGTTGTGTTTGTCACATGATTTGTGAATGATTGAAAAAACTCCTGAATTAATAAAATTGCCTCGATTGCCTAGTGAATAGTTAATGTTGCGTACTGCCGATATCGGATACGGGTTCGAATTTTAGTCGTGCTTTGAACATACCAACGAGTTTAGTACTAAATACCAATTGTTTTTAACATTAAGGAAATCATTGCGAGGAAACTTGTAAGACTGTCCTATTCTCAATATATCATGTAGTTTATACTATAGATGTTTAATAATATAACAATTATAGGTTGGTAATGAAAATAATAAACATCGCTTATTACATAATTTGTTTTTATTCATCATCAGATAAAAAATCATCACTATCGCTTTCGGTGACATTAATAATAAATCTGTCTGAAACATTGTCGATCATGTCGTCGAGACCATACATTTTATCTTCTTCTTTAATTATGTGAGACACGCAGCTACGCCATTTATCAGGTGTGATTAGTTTAAGTCCTTCTTCAAAAAGTTTTTTTACTTCTGTCATTTTGAAGGTGTTATTATTTTTTGCAACATATCCTTTAGCCTGCGCCCATACCAACTCAATGGGATTAAGCTCACAGTGGTATGGGGGCAGACGTAAAACAATTATCTCAAGCTGCGCTGCTATCTCGTCCACAACATACTTTTCGAAATGTTCTTGTTTGTGCTGCCGTACAATGTCTATAAGAGTAGCTTTAACCATTGTTGCTTCGAATGAAATATTTTTGCTCGTTAGCCACTCTTGTATTTTAGGTTTAGTCCAAGACATTTTAGGCAGCGATTCTAGTTTCCTGGAGTGGTAGGGGGCATTATCTAGCACTACTACAAAATTTGGTTTTAGTTTTGGCAAGACCCCACTAAACCACTTCTCAAAGGAATCGGCATTCATTTCTTGATGATAATCTTCTTTACTTTTTTTGGCTTCAAATATTAGTAAGCTGTCTTCTACGAATCCTTCTTTCCCACCTATGTGGCCGATAATTAATCGTTTGCCCTTTCCTGAAGGCTGTTTTTAAGCCAGTAGTCAGGCTATCTAGGAAGGCCTGGCGAGTCGATAACACTGTCTGGTCAATCCATGCCGCGCTTTGTATTACAGCCGTCAAAAAACTGATTGTAGTTACATACTACTAGTACCTAACTTATATCAGAAATCTTTTATACAATTTTAAAATACTAATAATATTATTTTATAGTTTGAAATGATTAACTATTTACACTCACTCATTGTTCATTCATCTGATTGAACAAGAACTGAATGTATCACTATTACTTTAAATGTGGCAACATTATTTTACTAAGTGACATTAGCTACTGTCAGATAGCTTCGTCTAATTAAAAATTCGACTATAGGTTATCATCGGCGTGCACAATAAAGTAGTACGGTGAATGTGAAAAACGTGTGGGAAATGGCATAACTTAGATACAAATATTGACATGTGTCAGGCCCATAGAAGGTTGATGACCTACTTCTCTGTCACAGATATTAAAGAAACGGAGGCATTTATTTTAATAGTAGCGCATATTTACTGTTAGTTAGTCTCTTTCCGAATCGGAAAGACATTTTTTCTGCAGTCATCACTATAGTCTGGCTGGTGTTATAAGCTATCATATACTTACAATTAAACCCAACTTTTCTCTTCTCAAGCAAAAGCTATTTAATACTAATAAACTATGGAGAATTAATAAAAATAATATTGATCATATAAAAATTTAATATTTTTAATGGCATAACTTACAAAAATAAATTGATTTATCAAATATAAAATAACATAATATACTACCAAAAGACAACAGTTTTTACATACTTTTTGTAATCAATAGATAAGTAATCATTAGGTAAAATTATATATAAAGTTAAACTATTTATACTAAAAACCACTTCTAAATACTTTAGAACTACCATATCTTCCTATACAATATTGGACTGTTGCATATATTTTTAATAATCTCCTTTCAATAGCTTTAAAGTGTTCCTCTGTTGCCAACTTTATACCTTGAAATTTAGATAACAGCTTAATTGTGTCTGATAGGTTGCCCCCAGATAATATTTCCAAATGTTGCCAGGTGGATGTAGGAAGCCTACAAAATAAACAAAATTCTGTAAGTATAATTTTACAATTTACATTTGCACACATAATATTGAAAAAAATTAAGCATTATTAATATTTTTTTTAATAATAAAAGTTTATTATTTAAGACAAAATTACTAAGAAAGCTTACATGCAACACTGGTAAAGAGGAGCTAAAATGTCTAGCTCATCTACAAGTGGGTTTCCCAGACCTTTTCCATTATCTAACAATATGATTTGCTCTTTATAAACTTCATATCGATGGCGATCACCATTCTGGATTAAAAAATCAAATAATGATACTTCTATAAGATTAAGAAGATGTCTTGTACTTAGACTACCCCTAATTTTCCTGAAATATATAAAAACTGATTTAAAGTGGCTAAACAAAAATCGTTTATTAAAGATAAGATTATAAATGGCACCAAAGTTAACATTAAAGTAGTTAGATAAGCAAAGTTAGGTCTTGTTAGTAAAAAATAAACAATTATATACCTCTTCTGCTTATGCTTGTGATTGTATCTCAGTGTTTTTACATAATACATTTACATACATTTATTTACATTTAATTTATTATGTAAATAATATTGAACCAATATTGTTTCAGAAAATGTAAATAAGTAAAAAAAATATAATCTTACACACAAAAATCACTGTCAATTTCCCATTCCATTTTCTTTGCATTATATGATCTCCGCCATGGTGACTTGTACACCTTTAACTGTTTATCTAAGTACAATATTGCAGCACCTTCTACTTCACCATTATCATCCGGACACACTGTTTCATTTATTTTACAGTAAAAACATTTACCATAAATACATAAGGTGCCTTTACCTATAAAAATTAAAAATTTTCTTTAGTAAAAATTATATTAGATTTATTCATTCTATTTCTTTATATTATATTACTATTTTTTAACATTGTTTTTCTTAATCCAGATGTTGCAACTGGCAAAATATCATTATCCAAGTGTACTTTTCTTATCACAGAGGGAGGTATCCATTTAAAATTCAAAACCATTGCCAAGTAGTATGCAAAAACTTCAGAATTATGACGGTCAAAGCCAGCATAGATTTTCCCATTAATTACATGTTCTAAATTATATCTCTTTGGCTTGAAGTACAGTTTTTGGTTGCCCTGCAAATATGTACATTGAAAAATAAAAGTCTTACATTATGAAGTCAATACTAAATTAAGGTAATTAAGTTAAATAGTACATACTTCCAGGAGAAGTAACAGTTTTAACTGGGTTCCTTTAGGTGCATTATCCACCAGTGCTATCGGTGTGGATTGTAGAGCATGAAGCATTTTTCCACCAATACCATCCTCATGAGGAAATAGTGATATATTACTGACCCACTAAAAAAAGTAACAATAGATATCAATAATTATGATTTGCATTAAATTTTAATTAAATTCAATATTATATAAATAGGTAATACTGACATTATCAACTTCAACCCAAGTATGTTGTGCATGTGCTGGATTTGTTACTCTACTTGTGTTAAAAGAATTAATTAGTTTCTTTTGTATAGACATAAATTTGGAGTTTTTGTTTTTATATTGATTTGGTAAATAATTAAGATATTCATAAATGTCTTGAAACACATTTGTAGTAAGGTCAACTCTGAGCTTTGGAACATTAAATTTAGGGGATTTTTTATTAATAGTATTTAGTGTGTAGAAAAAATATATATTTAAAACTACAAGCACCAAAAGAAACACTGAAAAGCTGAATGCATAGTTCAGTGACATTATGTAAATATTGAAAACTTTATTATTTTATTATACATTTTCCTTAATATTAAATTCTAGGGTGTATCAATTGAAGAAGTATATCACACCGGTTAACTAGTACAATTGCCACATGCTTTATGGTCATGAGTGAATTATGAATTAATTATTTCCATTTTTAATAGAAGACACCATAATATATACTTCAATCTTCATACTTTCATAGTAAAAAAAAACATATTTTATCCACAGATTTCTTATTCATTTAGTCAAGTTTAATTCAGTATACTACCACAGGTAACGTACAGGTAAATATACTACATTTTAAACGCGAAAGCGTATGGGGTAATTGATTTAACCACCATTTTAAAGTGAATTAATTTAATTCCATTGTTTGGTTACAATATTCACTTAATAGAATATAAAGAAATAAACATAATATGTGCGTCAAATACCAAGCCACTAAGCGCACTGGCTACGTACTACTGGTTACCTGCGTACACGCACACATTCACGCGCGAATCCCGCAAGACCAGTTTTTATGTAGTTCTGTGCGAGTGACGATATTACGATATCGATGTAAAATGTCGATAAAAATATGAAATTTATGTGAATATGAAATGTATGTTTATACATGTGTATGCTACATCACTCCCCTCCAGAGCCCATCAAGGGCGATAAAAATCAGGAAAATTTACCCTGCGCCCAGATCGAGTAATATTGGCTTGTTTAGGGTATGAAGAAGTAGGAGGTTTTTCTGCATTAGACAAAATAAAAGCAGGTTTTAAACGATCGATTGAAACTGATACAACATTCGATTTTACTAAAATTTTGAAAACTTTATCACCTCTCGAAATGACCTTGTAAGGACCTGTATAAGAAGGTTGAAGAGAGCCTCGTAAAGCGTCTTCACGAAGGAAGACAAAATCACAAGACTGTAGTTCCTTAAAAACGAACACTTTATGTTTGCTGTGTCGTGATGCCGGTGTAGGACGTACTTTCTCAGCGAAACTACGTAACCTGGCGGAAAACTCAGATAAGTCTGTAGTTCCATTACTTGTAGGCTCGAAAAATTCGCCAGGAAGACTAAGGGGTTCACCATAAACTAAATCAGCTGATGAAGACTGTAAATCATCTTTGAATGAACTCCGTATTCCTAACAAACCCACGGCAACGACTCAGTCCACTTGTCATTAGCGTGACAGACGATCGCTGCTTTCAGCTGGCGATGGAATCGCTCAACTAGACCGTTGCATGCTGGGTGATAGGCTGTTGTGCGCTTGTGCTCAAAACCAATCAACTGAGAAAGATATTTGAACAAAGCGGATTCAAACTGTCGGCCACGATCAGTTGTGATAGCCGTAGGACATCCAAAACGTGCTATCCAACAAGAAAGTAAAGCTTTGGCTGTGGTTTCAGCTGTAATATCTTCAATCGGTATTGCCTCTGGCCATCGAGTAAAACGATCGACGGCAGTAAAGCAATAACGGTAGCCACGAGAAAGAGGTAGAGGACCTACTAGATCAATGTGGATTTCTTTAAACCTTGCTCGAGGCAAGGGAAAAGATCCAAGTGGAGCGTTAACGTGGCGACTAACCTTCGCACGCTGGCAAGCGATACAACAACGTGACCATTCTCTGCAATCTTTACGTACCCCAGGCCAAACGAAACGCTCAGAAATAAGTTTTACAGAAGCATTAGCTCCGGGATGGCTTAAAGAATGGAGACTGTCGAAAATTTGCTTGCGAAGGGAACTTGGAACATACGGTCTGGCAGTCGATAAACTGACGTCACAGTAAAGAGGAATTCGGCTACCAGGAACCATAAGCTGTTTTAAATTTAACGATGAACCAGCGTTCAAGAGTTTTATGAGATCTGGATCAGACGATTGAGCTTGAGCTAGAAGGTCTAAACTTACAGGTTCTGATAATTCATCAACAACTCGAGACAAAGCATCAGCAACAACGTTATCCTTGCCGGATATATGACGAATATCTGTAGTAAACTGAGATATAAAATCTAAATGTCTGAACTGTCTAGGCGAACAACTATTTTTCCTTTCATGGAAAGCAAAGCTGATCGGTTTATGATCTGTAAAGACTATAAAATTTCTCGCCTCTAACATATGCCTAAAATATTTAATGGCTTCATAAATGGCTAATAATTCACGGTCGTACGGTGAATATTTGACCTGTGAAGGACTTAACTTCCTCGAGAAAAATGCTAACGGCTGCCAAGCACCATCCGCTGTTAACTGCTGCAAAACTGCCCCAATAGCTTTGTCAGACGCATCTGTCACTAAAGCTAGTTTGGCTGAACAATCTGGGTGAGCTAATAACGCGGCTTCTGCTAAACTATTCTTACAGTCTTGAAATGCAGATAACGCATTGCCCGAAATAAGGATGGGTTGAGATCCTTTAACAGAATTTGTGAGCAAAGCGTGAAGCGGTGCTTGAATTTCAGCGGCCCTTGGAAGAAAACGCCTGTAAAAATTTAACATCCCAAGAAAACCACGAAGTTGGCGAATGGTTGTTGGTGGCGGAAAATCAAGTATGGCTTGCACCTTGGACTCTAACGGCTTCGTACCACTTTCAGAAATGGAGTATCCTAAAAATTCCACCTCCTTTACGCCAAAAACGCATTTTGATGTATTCACCAGCATACCGTATTTTGCGAGTCTTTTAAAAAGTTCACGTAAATGTTGTTCATGCTCCTCACTGCTTCTGGAAAATACCAAAAAGTCATCTATATAGCAGTAAACGAAGTCTAAACCACGTGTTATTTCATCCACAAACCTTTGGAAAGTTTGTCCCGCATTTCGGAGACCAAAAGTCATATATGGAAATTCAAACAATCCAAAGGGTGTCGTTATGGCAGTCTTAGGAACATCTTCAGGACTAGTGGGGATCTGATTATAGGCTTTCTCCAAATCAATGGTGGAGAAGATTTTACAACCAGAAATGTTAGAAGAAAAATCATGGATGTGTCTTATAGGGTATTTATCGGGTACTGTGCGGGAATTCAGTCTACGATAATCACCGCACGGACGCCATCCATTATTTTTCTTCGGAGCCAGATGTAGGGGAGAAGACCATGGACTTTCTGATGGTCGAGCTATACCAGCAGCAATCATGGATTCGAACTCTTTTTTAGCAATAATGAGTTTGTCTGGAGCCAGTCGACGTGGAGTTGAAGATACGGGAGGACCAGGAGTAGTGCGTATGTGGTGTACAGTATTGTGTGGTGTAGTGTTACAAGTACCGGCTGGTTTACAAATTTCAGGAAATTCATTTAAAATTCTATGATATACAGATTTACCATTAACTACTAATTTAACAGATAAAACATCTTTACATCTAATAGTTTTAACCACAGCTGAAATTGACGTTAAATTGTCAATAAGACGTTTATTCCTACAATCTACTATTAAATTATAAAAGTTTAAAAAATCAACACCAATTATAGGTCTAGTTACATCGGCTACTACAAAACGCCATGGAAAAACACGTCTTAACCCTAAATCTAAGTCTAAATTTACAAAACCATAAGTAGCTATACTAGAACCGTTTGCAGCACACAAACTATAATCAGTCTTAGGTCGACGATCGTGTAATTTCGATCGAGGGAAAACGCAGAGGTCGCTGCCAGTATCAACTAAAAACTGCATTTTCGACTTCCGATCCATGACAAAAAGACGACCAGGTGAGGTAGTGGGGCAATCGCCAGTCGCCATTATCGACTGCCCTGAGAGTTTCCCGACTTGAAGTCACACGGTCGCACACATTTGTGAGCTCCTTCTGCGAACTTGCTATGATACCAGCACACAGGAAACTTCCGGTAACTCGATGAAGATCGCTCTCTTGATTTCTGCCGACTGTTTTTTGAAGACCGAAATTGAACTCTTCTGCTGCGTAAGGACAGATTCTTGACTTGCTGACGAAGCTCTGCTATTTCCTTAGTCAACTCATTGACTAATGTAACGCCTTGTTGAACCGCAGAAACACTCGGTGCTGTAGACGCAAGGTCAACCACTCTATCAGCTAAGTCAGCTAAATCGTCTAGCGGTGCTGACACCGGTTGGCCTGCGAGCACCGTTTGTACACCATGTGGAAGACGGCTCATCCAAATAGTTTTTAAGAAATCTTCAGGTTCGCCAGCGCCCGCCAAACTTCGTAAATGACGAAGAAATTGTGAGGGTTTTCTCTCACCCAACTCCTCATGCATCAATAACTGCTTTATTTTCTTCTCCCGGGATGCGCTGAGTCGCTTTATTAACTCAGTTTTAAGCTTCTCGTAGCGGTCGGAAATTGGTGGGTTGATAATTATGTCTTTTACTTCACGAGAATACTCATTGTCTAAGTGACCGATGACATAATTAAATTTAGTCGAATCATTAGTTATTCCGGATATTGAAAATTGACCCTCAATTTGGGCAAACCAAATTTCGGGTTCCTCTGGCCAAAACGGGGGAACACGTACACCAACTTTAAAAACATCGACATTCGATGGCACAGCACTAGTGGTGTCTCTGTTGATCGACATGGCGTTCACCTTTAAAATTTCTCAAGGTCAAGTTGTTTTGTACTGAAGTCCAAATGGTCGTTGAACATGTGATATTATATTATACTGTTCACTTATCACTTTTTTACACTGTACACTAATAGTTTATTCACTTCAGTAATACGGGGTAATACTGTTCAAACGAATGTTCAAGAATCCAGACCGGAATCGCCAAAACGTTTATCGGGGTCACCAGTATGGGGTAATTGATTTAACCACCATTTTAAAGTGAATTAATTTAATTCCATTGTTTGGTTACAATATTCACTTAATAGAATATAAAGAAATAAACATATGTGCGTCAAATACCAAGCCACTAAGCGCACTGGCTACGTACTACTGGTTACCTGCGTACACGCACACATTCACGCGCGAATCCCGCAAGACCAGTTTTTATGTAGTTCTGTGCGAGTGACGATATTACGATATCGATGTAAAATGTCGATAAAAATATGAAATTTATGTGAATATGAAATGTATGTTTATACATGTGTATGCTACAAGCGATCAGAAATCAATAGTTAATGCAGTAGGTTCACCCTGTTGTACTCGCGTTTCGTGCTGTCAGTGAGTGAGATTCTCGTAACCCTGAGAGACTGCGAAGCCGTCACCGAGACTCAGATACCTCCCCGGCTGATATTCAATTTGGAACACTGATTTGTGCCGCGGGCGGGAGTTTGTATCTAAGTCAGAGAGGATGTCTGCTCTCTTCACCTCAAGTCGCTTGCATGAAAGGACTATCTATCCTCTGGCTTCGTGTAGACTGTGCCTATCCTCCATTCTACGCATGCCGTATTTTTTTATTAACGGTAGATTTTGACGCTCATAACGAATGGCTTGGCTCTAAAAGCACCGATCATGCAAGGAGATCCTTTCATGATTTTGTTTTGGTAAACGACTGGTCCTGGACAAATGGTCTATGCGATCACGCGAATACCAGATGTATGGTCATAAACCTTATTTGCTGTATCTTCGGCTGACCTCGCATCCAGAGAACCACGAAGTCTCCATTGACCCGCCGGTTTCTCGGATCATTGCGGATTCTCGGCCTGGAGCAGTGTGCCGACAACACGGCCTCCACGGCCTCGCTTTGCGGGTTAGCTCCGCGTGTGGCACTGTAGGTCAACAGATTGACAGACAAACCCTTGGGGGCCTACTCGGTCCGTTGAGTGCTCCATATACATATCCCTCCTCCCTTCGGGTAGTTGAGCCTTTTGGTCCCTTGCCAAAGCTGTTCAAGGTAATTTCTGTCAGCCTTTCGTTCCACCACTGAACAGAAAGGATGCCCATACATAGTTGAACGGGAAGGGACAGCCTAAAAGGTCGGCTTTCATTGGACGATACCTCCAGCGGTGTCGTCCAATGTCGAGTCATACTTCGATGCCGGAAATTGGATTCCGACAACGTGCTATCCACAAAATTTTAACCTTTTTGTACATTCACAAGTAAAGAAACTACGTGCTACGTGGAGTTTTGGACTGGTGACGACTAAATCTAGTCCAATGGGGACCCGTAATAGTTTTATGTTATAATGCAGTTTTATAGTCCTTGAGAAACTAAAACATAAAGTGCAAAAATTTTTGTTCTACGACCAAAACTGACAAAGTTATGGGCAAAATACCGAACAAGGTTTACTGACCGAGCGAATGCAAGCGATGACGTCACAATATCTCAACGCTTGCCGCCGAACCACAGCGCGCCCCGCGCTGTTTATTCTGTTCGCGATACTCGTCCAACACGGAGCGTAACGTCACCGGTTTATACCCAATCGATTAATAAGTGATTTGATTTGTTTAATATTAGAAGGTTGTTATTATAATATATCAAATGAGTGGTAGAAATAAGGTAGATATCGGTTTTGAGCAAGCGCAATCCGATAATCTACCTAAAGTTGATACCTTCATGGTATTTGATTATCTTAGTAATCATTTAAACTACACAAGCGCTGAAATTCGTGGTTGGAAACTTCAGAGGTAAGCAAATCTCACTATCAACCTAATCAAAACAGCAGGATAATAAGTAGGTCAGGAATACAGGGTCGTATTCAGGCCCGGGAATATTCCCAATAAGGTTTATGGATATGAACATGTTACCGGGAATATTCTTCTCAATGTTTCTGGGTGCATTGCCAGTCGGAAATCTTATTGGGAGTTAGTTCCTAGTATTGTTAGTAGGTAACGGCACATTGCTGGTAGGTAAGTAAGAAAAGTGCCCGACGAAATGATTAATTTCATTTCAATCTCATTGACTTGCGTATTCTTGTCGTCTAGTTTTGTCAGTGCAAATTAATATAAGAAACAAAGTAATCGGTAGGTATACTTTATTCGTTTACCTTAGATTGTTTGAACAAGCAATCCTAATGAGATCGCTAATGTATACGTATTCTAAACGCTTACGATTTTTTTTTTCAGGTCAGGGCGTGAATCATATGGTGATGAAGCTGTGGGATTTGTTCAAGTGCAAAGAATAGGAGATATATGCACAGTCAAAGCAAAAATTACACCAGAACATAAAATAAAGGGTAAAGCTTATTGCTGCACATTTACTTGTGATGAAACACAAGAAATAATAGTAAACATTGAGTGTGCACGGTGTAGCATTTCTTATGTGGCTTCACAGACGAAGCGAGGAACCATCCCCAACAGAAAAAAAAATGTTATTGGGCTAAGCCTAAATTAGCTACGGTGGGCACCACTTTAAAATTTATAAAGGCTGAAGATATGGGATCAGGCACACCAAAAAATCAAGATGACAGTTATGTCAAAGGTCAATTTGTAGAAGCTGTAAAAGTACAAGAAAAATCTATTCATAACCAGCTGGCAGCCTATGCGTACCACAAAGCGCGTTAAAAAAAATGTCATTACATGTATTAATAAGTGAGTCTAGAAAAGAGGCTATCGCAAGCTGATTCACCATTGTGGAGGGAACTAAGATACTGCAGAGTAACGGCGTCAAAAATTCACGAAGCTGCAAACTGCAAGACTGATGGTATTTTAGTTGAACAGATTTTCAGGGCATCCATACAGGAGACAGTCGCTATGGAAAGAGGAAAACGTCTGGAACCAGAAGTAAGAGCAGTGGTGGCTAAACTAAAGAACAAAGTAATAGTCAATTGTGGTATATTTTTAAAACCCGAGTGGCCAATCCTAGGTGCTTCGCCAGATGGTTTGACGCCTGAGCTCGTAGTAGAGATAAAATGTCCAATGACTAAAAAAGGAAAAGAAAGTTTTGTAAAAAATAATGATTTGACGAAAAAATCAAAAGCACAAATACAGTTGCAAATGCTTTTTTGTAACAGAAACAAAGGATTATTTTGTGTAGCAGATGTAGATTTTGAAAACAATCAAAAAGTGGACATACTGGAAGTGGAATATGATAACGAATACTGTATGAATCTTCTTGTGAAGGCAACAACATTTTGGAAGGAATATATATTCCCCAAACTAATTGACACATAATTTCTTTTTGTAGACTTTCTAATAGGGATTACAATAAACGCATTATAGAAGATAAAAATGTTTTTTATTTACTTTAGTACACCATTTTTTGCGCACTTTCAGGTCCCTTGGCACATTAAAAACAGTTTTTCAGGTGTACTAGTTGAAGTATTAGTACATTTCGGTACTATACAGTATTTATAATGCGGCATATTTTCACATAAAAACCACAACACGACCCGCGCAGATCGAGTAAACTTTAATAAATGAATGGCGGAAAGCGAGCGCGCGGGCGGTAGGGAAATCGTGACGTCACATGAGCATTTCGGCCGCCCCGCGGTTGGCTTGTACAAAATGTGTAATATCTTCGCAACCAATTTACCGATTTCAATGATTTAAAAAGTATTGTACCTAATCGACTAAAAGGAACACTAATATATAGATAATATATGCATTTTCCGACTTGTTACGGGGACCCATTTAACCCCAAGAAGACAGAAGTTTGCGCGTTTTTTTTATTATATGTATATACATTTTTTTTGTTACCACGGTGTAATGACATGCGAAATATACAAAACAAGAAGTGGGGCACAATCTATCATTTGCCAGCGTCCGAGTCTTGTAAGATTAACCTATCTAATAAAAGATCTATAAGAGTCAGGTAAAATACATAAATAGTGCATACTCTTACATTAAAACTCCATAAGAATCAAATTTAAAAATTTTAGAAACCAAAATAAAAGACAAAACAGATATTGATTAACTGTATAAAGTCACACAGCCCACATGGAATTCTTACCTCTGAGCGGGTGCTCCCAAGTCTCCTCCCACTAGACTGTATACAACGAAGTGCGATTTGAATTCTCCAATATCTTTACGAGCGGCTAGACCCCTTGGCATTGCGTAGATATTTGGGGTCACTCTGCATCTTCTACCACATTAACCACGGAGAGTGTTCAGATTAATATCAGCAGCTGAGTTTCATCATCGGACGTCAAGGCATAATACGAAATTCCACCAGTATCACCTAGCGTTTTTTAAGGCAGCTTCTGCCGTGCACCACCATTACGTGGAACCAGCTGCCAAATGAAGTAATTCCGAACCAATTTAACTTTGGGTCCTTCAATATTAGAGTGTACCAATTACTACTATTAAATGCCGGCAATGCACTTGCAAGCCTTTTGCCTTTTGGCAGTGCGAGTGTCATGGGCTGTGGTATCACTCAACATCAAGTTAGTCTCCTGCCCGTTTGCCCTCTTTACTATAATATCCAGCCAGCGCCGGATCACGGTTGGAATAACACAAAAAGTAACAGTAAAGTATTATTATATGTTTTAATTCATTAATAAAATTCTATAAAAGCTATTTACAAATTATCGTGGAACAATCCATCATAATAAGATAAAGTGAGCAAGCGCAAGAGTGTGATTGATGCTCCTGCCTCTTTCGCGTCGCTAGTCGTGCCTCAACAACCGACAAAGCGAAGAGGCGGCGAAGCGAGACGACGCGAGGGGGCACGAGCGCACTGTCCACACTCTCGCGCTCGCTTCCCCTCGACGAGAGTGTGGATGGACGATTAGAAACTTACGGCAGTTGTATTTTTGTTAACTAAAATATCAAAAAGCTATAATACTCCAGGGTTTAAATTTTATACTACTTGAATTTGTTTTTGATGCATATTTCAAATGACCTCTCAAACCAAATGTACAATAAAATATTTAGGGTGTTTTGAACATTCTGTAGAAGTTGTCATTGCACATGCTGGCTGTGCAGTGTCAAGTGTGCAATCAATGTCCATTGTCCATTACCATTACCAAACATTAGGTAGCCGTAGCCCGTAGGTGGCAAGTGGCAACTGGCAGCTGCTTAGTGCTTACTGCTTACGCTTAGTAGTTAGTGCTTTGTTAATAGTAAATTGTTATTGGTGATTTGTTGTGATTACCTTGTGCTAATCTTTATTCTTAAGAGAATTGTAAATTTAACTAATTCAGTAATTTATTTAAGCAGCTTTTTAAACAATTTACGGTCTCTTATCATCTCGTCCAAAATAAGCTTTATCGTGATCCCAAAGTTCCAGCAAAGATGTTTGCACCGGTAAAAGATACATTCTTATATTTTGCGTATGGAAGCAATTTGTTGAAGAAGAGAATTCATATCAATAACCCTTCTGCCGAATTTATTGGAATTGGACGACTTGACGTCAGTATTTTTCGTACAACATACTAGTACTTTTAAACGTAATTACCGTTTTGTAAATTTAATATTTTGATTCTAGAATCATCTTCTGGACTTTATGAAATACAGTGACCATTGGAGAGGGACATCAGCGACTATTGTTCCTATTCAAGATTCTCATGTTTGGGGAGCTGTGTGGAGAGTCCAGAACAAAGATATGCCTTCACTAGACTGGTTAGTATTATGGTTCTTTTGTTAATCAAGTTATTTTATCTCAGATGATTGACATTTTTATCAAATAATATAGTTTTAGTTATATAAAATAAATAACACATACCTACTTGTGGAGTTGTTATGACTTGCAATATATATAATGCTACTGATTGTAGACAAACTGACAACGAAAAATTCATAAAAGTTTAAAAATATGAATAACAAAGTCTTGTAATTGTTAACAGGCAAGAAGGTGTGGATACAAATTGGTATTTCCCAAAAACAGTTGACATTGTGACACTCGATGGAGAGACTGTTCAATGCAGGACATATCAACAGACAGTCAATCCACCACCTAGAAAAGAAGATGAACTGTTGCCAGAAGATAGACTGCCTTCATCAACATATTTGGAGTGTATTTTGAAAGGAGCTGAGGAATGTTTTTTACCTAAAGAATATGTCTTAAAACTTAAGAAAATACCTCATAATGGCCAAAAAGCTTCACCTAAAATGATAGAAAAATTAAGCATGATGTAATTTTTCAGTTCCATTATTATTGAAATTTCATCAAAGAGTTTTATGTGATATATTGTGTAAAAAGTCTTAGTTATAATTGACAAATTATGAAATGCTATCTGTTAAAATGTCATAGCAGACATAAAAATGTGATGATGTCAAAATATATATTTTTGTTTACTTCATAATTTTTATTGATATCCAATAATTTCAATCATGAAAAAATCTCAAGTTCATAAATTAAAAACATTTTTTTATTTTGCATATGGAAGTAATTTGTGGACATTTAGAATTCATATGAATAACCCAACAGCCGAGTTTGTTTCTATTGGTCGCCTTGATGTTAGTTCAGTTGCTAATACAAAATTATTAGAATGTACCCAGAAAAAAGTATTTCCTGTAAACACAAGTACAGTTTAACAATTTAAAGTATATTCTCTCTTTAATTTAAAAAAAAAAAATAATAATTTTGTTGTAATATAACCATAACCAATCTATGGTTGTGTCCAAATATAGTAATTTTGTCATAATTAAGGTATAAAGACATGACAAATATAACATAACAAAAATTTAAAAAATTGTTTTACCATGTAGAATCACAGACTAGATTTCATCGGATATTCAAAGTTTTGGGGAGGGCCTACAGCTACACCTGTGCCAACAGCTAATGCACATATTTGGGGTGTTATTTGGCGTCTGCATATAGATAATATTGCATCGCTTGATGAGTAAGTTAACTATATTTTGTAAAGACATTTAATGGTTAATTGTAAGTAAAATGTAATATGATTCCAGTCAGGAAGGCGTTGACAAAAACATTTACTATGTGAAACATGCTGAAATTATTACCCCATACATAGGAAAACTTATGTGTCGGATCTACGAGCATACAGTAATTCCTCTGCCTAGGGGAGATAATGACGAGATTCCTATAGAATTCTGGCCGTCTTGGACTTATAAAGAAGTCATACTATTGGGTGCTGAAGAGCATAATCTTCCCGAATATTATATAGAAAATTTGAAAAATATAAAACACAATGGCGAACAGGGATGTTTCTATATGGCTTGTTTATTAAAGCAGTATGCTAAAGCGAAGCCCTGTGAATGCAAGCCAACTATAAAAATACTTAGAAAGCCTCTAAAATTAGATTTGAAGCAGTTACGTACAAAGTAAATCAATCATTTAAACCAAACATTTTTGAGAAAATAAAGTTATAATATTGTTATGTTTTATATCACCTACCAACCTCTATTTTAGAGTAATTTATTTCTTTATGCACAATATAAATAATATTCTAGTAAAATTAAACATAGGTATTTTATTAAAACCATTAAATAAATTTATTTTTATAACTTTTTATTAATATAAATATTAAAATTATTATTAATAGGTACTCGGTTTTCATTAAATATAAAAATTATACACTATCTCATTCGTTTGGTGAATTGTTTCTAAATTGAGCATAGAGCACAACGCTACCCTCACACTTGACAAGAACATAAACACGCACACAAATCACACGAGGAACACATCGTTTGGAAATTATATAATCAGTCAATAGTAATTATGAAAATAGCTAAAAATTATGAGGTAAAAATTCTGCCTTATAGTGGAAATCACAATAAAAACAAATACTGTTGCATTTAAAATGAGTCAGTTTTCGCTATTGTAAAACCCGCAGGGAACCCTGTGTGAGGCAACGTTGTGCGAGACATTCCGAGGTTGCGCCAAGCATACATTGTCGAAAAATATTGTTACTATGATGAACAATGTATCGCTGGAGCTCCGCGGCGGGCTCGACTATAGAGGAACTGATGCCGCGTGGCGGCAGCCGGCTTGCGAAAAGCGCTGGTATGACATGTTTATACAGAAATTCTTATAAAAAAACACGTACTTTACTTATTTAAATACACAATTTAATTAATTGAGCAAAAGGCACTATGCAATACAAAAATAACTTTTTTTTATCTTATCATTAACTTTCAAAACGGAATAGCGAAAGAAAACAAGTTGTGCAGACTAATGCAACGTGCCTTGAGCCCTCGACATCGATATTTCATGTGCATTTCTAGAACTTTAAATAAACGATTCTCGTCGCGATATACTAAATGAAAAGCCCTAAAACGTGATGCAGCATTATCTTAAAACTTACGTTTTAATAATGGTGGTTAAATCTAATGAAAATATTGATTCTAAACATAATAAATAGGTCAAACGCATCTGATATACAACACAAAATGAAAGTGAAGTGCGATCATTAATAGCTGTTATGTTGCTAACGCAATCGACAATCCGGCATTCCATTGAAGGCTGGATTTCTGAAGGCACTCGTTAATACCCTTAAAACCACTTAAGTCATTTTGCTTCGGACCTCTACACACTACCGGTCCGTGTACATGATTGTTGTATATCCCAGTCTACTTTGGCTTATTACATTTTAATGTATTGCATGTATTACATGTATATACGTTATATTTTAATTATATTGAATCAGCTAGTGAAACAAAATACGCAGTAGAAAATCTAACTTACAAAATTCTGTATTTTAATAAATTTTCGTCATTTGCCTTACAATATTTTGCGCGTAGTTTGGTGTTTTTCTATAAAAATATTTAACGCATTTTACACCACAATGCACAAATTATCGGCAAACGCGAAAATGGTTTTGAACCGTAACGAAAAAACTATAAAATTTAAATATTCTATAATAGACATTTTACAAAGTCTATATTTTAATGTAGTAATATGTATTTTAATGTCATATACCTATTGTAATAATAGTAATTAATACTAAAAAAATTAGCTTTTACATTTTAGCTGGCAACAAATAATATTGTTTATAATAAGTATTGAGAATTCAGAGTTAGACTTTGGGTATAGAGTACACATACGGTGTACCAAATGGAATTGAATGACAAAATAAATTGTAAAACTGGCTGGTTTTTACAAACGTTATATATTCACATTAATTTGGCGTTTCCAAATAAGTCTTTGGTGGAATAATCCGATTTGTGAAATGAAATTTATATTATGAATGCAACACACAATGAGCTCGTCCACCAGTCTGCTAAAGCGAGTCAAAAAGATTCTGTGTCGACGGCGCACTCGCCGTTCCTTACCTGTTCCCAGTTCGTATTGGCTCGTTAGCAGAAAACCACGTACGAGTACGTACAAATACTAGTTACAAAGACTAGCTCGACAAGTGTACAACATGGAAGTATTTTAAATAGTAAATTATAAGAGCACTACAAATTACTTATATGACATGATAAATCTAAATCAAACATCAACTAATAACTTTGGACCATCCACACAGGATCTACCTCTGAGAATTTTTTGGCGTCGGGACGTGACGACCCCATCGCCCACTGGTGAAATAACCTGTGACAGAGGTTATTTCATCAGCGCAATCAGTCAACCCCTTCCTAGTGGGAGTGCCATGCTGTTGCCTTCGGGCTTCAGCCAAATGGGCAGGCACGACCGGGGTAGTACCACTGTCTCTTAGAAAACCGGCGTGAAGTGAGGCAATAGGTTCGCCTTATTGTACTCGCGTTTCGTACGGTGAGGGAGACTCCCGGAGCCCATCCCCCCCAAAATGAAATATGAAGGTGCAGAACAAACAGAATCTACCCCAGGGGGGTACCACACGCGAACGCGGTGGAGAATCCCCCTCTGAGCGTCCAACACCGGGACACTCAGCACCCGGTGGTGGACGCACAGGCTGCCCTTCGTATTCTGGGGGGGGCAATTCTGCGCTCGGTAAAAAAAACATTAATCGTTCTCGGGGCAAACGGAGCAATTCAACTAAGGCACCCCCGTCCACACTCGCCGTGGACTTCACAAATGTTAGGGGGCTCCATTCCAACATCAACGCTGTCCACTACCACTTAGAGACTGCGAAGCCGGCCTTGCTCTTTCTTACCGAGACTCAGATATCCCCCCGGCTGATACTTCCTACCTCTCCTACCCGGGGTACAAATTGGAACATTCATTTGTGCCGCGGGCGGGAGTTTGCGTGTACGTCAGAGAGGATATCTGTTCTCGTCGCCTCGGGACGCTTGAAGGAAGGGACCTATCTAACCTCTGGCTGCGCGTAGACTGCGATGACCATCCGCGATTCTACGCATGCCTGTATAGGTCCCATAGCGGAAATACCGAAACTGACCGACTCATTGAGCACATCCAAATGGCTACAGATTCCCTGCTCGAAAGGGTTCCTACCGCTGAAATCGTGATACTTGGCGATTTTAACGCCCACCATGCCGATTGGCTCGGCTCAGAAACCACCGATCATGCGGGAAGATCCTTTCACGACTTTGCTTTGGCTTACGACTTGACGCAAATGGTCCCTGCGATTACGCGAATACCAGATGTGGATGGTCATAAACCCTCTTTGTTGGACCTTCTGCTGACTTCACATCCGGAGAACTACCAAGTCTCTGTTGAACCGCCATTGGGTTCATCAGATCATTGTGTGGTCCGGAGCATTGTGCCGTTCACGCGCCCTCTTCGGCCTAGGTTCACGGGCTGTCGCCGCGTGTGGCACTATAAGTCAGCAGATTGGGATGGGATGCGGTCTTTTTTTGCGTCCTACCCTTGGGGGCCCATTTGCTTTTCGTCGAGTACTCCAGATGCCGTCGCTGACTCTGTCGCCGAGGTGGTCCTGCAGGGTATGGAACTTTTTATTCCATTCTCTGCGGTGCCGGTCGGTGGCAAGTCCCAGCCTTGGTTTAGGCGTTCTTGCAAAGCGGCTTTGCGCCGTAAGCGTGAATGCTTTAAAGCCTGGGCAGAAGCGGTGACATCCTGTGATGTGACTATCGGCGAACGTAAAAAAGCATACAATTCAGCCTCCAGGTCCTTCAAGCGAGAAATCACTAAAGCAAAGTCAGAGCACATTGCCAGATTTGGTGAAAAATTGGCCCACCTCCCTTCGGGAACTCGAGCCTTCTGGTCTCTTGCCAAAGCTGTCCAAGGGAATTTCTGTCAGCCCTCAATTCCACCACTGCATAGGGAGGATGACTCACTGGCCCATACCGCGAAAGAGAAGGCCGATCTTCTAGGCTGTCTCTTTGCGTCGAACTCCACTTTGGATGATCAAGGGAATGAACCACCGACATTATTGCGGTGTGATACTACGATGCCCGAAGTTATATTCCGGCAACGTGCTATCCGTAAAGCTTTGTCTTCCTTGGACATCCATAAGTCGAGCGGGCCCGATGGCATCCCTCCAATTGTGCTGCGTACTTGTGCTCCTGAGTTGGCTCCGGTTCTAACGCGCCTTTTCCGGTACCTTTACACGCTCGGCACTGTTCCGAAGTGCTGGAAGATCGCTTCGATACATCCGATCCCTAAAAAAGGCGATCGCTCTGATCCGTCCAACTATCGCCCAATAGCTATAACCTCCTTGTTCTCCAAAATAATGGAAACCATTATTAACAGCCAGCTCCTGAGGTATCTAGAGGGCCACCAGCTGATTAGCGATTCTCAGTACGGCTTTCGTCGTGGTCGCTCAGCTGGTGACCTCCTTGTATACCTTACACATAGGTGGGCAGAGGCAATTGAGTCCAAGGGGAGGCGCTGGCGGTAAGTTTGGACATAGCGAAAGCCTTCGATCGGGTGTGGCACAGAGCACTGCTCTCGAAGCTTCCAGCCTATGGGCTCCCTGAGAAATTATGCAACTGGATTTCCAGCTTTCTCGCTGATCGGAGCATCAAAGTCGTCATCGACGGAGCATGCTCCGACCTGAAACCTGTGAATGCTGGTGTCCCACAAGGCTGTGTCCTATCCCCGACCCTGTTTATTCTGCATATCAATGATATGTTGCAGCTTAGCAACATTCATTGCTATGCGGACGACAGCACTGGGGCTTTTTACACTGGCCGGGCAGGTATTTCTCGGGCTGTTGTTGATGAGTACCGGAACAAACTTGTGTCTGAAGTCGAAACTCTTCTACGTGGAGTCTCGGACTGGGGTAGACTAAATCTAGTCCAATTTAACCCCAAGAAGACACAAGTTTGCGCGTTTTCCGCTAAAAAAACTCCCTTTGTCGCTACTCCCCTCTTTGAAGACACTCTCCTTAAAGCCTCAGCTAGCATCGGAATACTGGGCGTTGACATATCGAATAACGTTCAGTTTCGCGGTCATCTGGAAGGAAAGGCTAAATTAGCCTCCAAAAAGCTTGGTGTGCTCAGCAAGGCGAGACGGTACTTCACTCCGGGCCACCGCTTGCAACTATATAAAGCGCAAATTCGGCCCCATATGGAGTACTGCTCTCACCTCTGGGCGGGAGCTCCCCAGTACCAGCTCCTTCCACTTGACCGTATTCAACGAAGAGCGGTTCGAATCGTCGACGACCAGTCACTTTCCGTGCGGCTTGATCCCTTGGCGATGCGTAGAGATGTGGGATCTCTCTGCATCTTCTACCGCATTTACCATGGAGAGTGTTCAGAGGAGTTGTTCGGTCTAATACCTGCAGCTGAGTTTCATCAACGGACGTCAAGGCAAAATACAAAATACCATCCGTATCACCTCGACGTCCGTCGTTCCACAACAGAGCGTTTTCTAAGGCAGTTTTTGCCGCGCACCACCACTATGTGGAACCAGCTGCCCACAGAAGTATTTCCGAACCAATTCGACTTAGGGTCCTTCAAGAAAAGAGCGTACCAATTTTTGAAAGGCCGGCAACGCACTTGCGAGCCTTCTGGCATTGTGAGTGTCCATGGGCGGCGGTGTCACTTAACATCAGGTGAGCCTCCTGCCCGTTTGCCTCCTATTACATAAAAAAAAAAAAAAAAAAAAAAAAAGAATTCACTAGTTTTATTGTAGCAAATTACTATATTTTAGTACCACATACGCATACCGAATACTAGTCTTTGGAACAAGTGTTTATATATAATCAGTTTTAAAGATTAGGTATAGCTTATTTGCCGTTCATACTCAAAGAGCTGGGCTGCCACATTAAATAACTGTATACAAATTGTATATTTGAATGTTGCTTATGCTACGTGCGTAGCCGGAACCAGCATACAATTTTTCGAGGTTGTGTACGGGAAAAAACTTTTTAGTCTTTGATCATGAGAGTATCACTTCTCCATTCTGAGTAGCTGAAAATCTATTCTTTTATATGTAAATGAAATATATAGCTAAATACAATTTTGTATAATCTCGGAAAGATAGTGGTTTAATATGATCTGACGCGAGGCAGCCCTGGAAATGAGTAGGATAGGCGATTAAAATGTTTTTGGATTCCAAATAGTCCGCGAGTTGTCGCGGCAATGCGCATTGTAAAAGTCAAGGAGCGGGAAGTGGTCGCGTGACCATGGCCCTCTCCGTGACTCGGACACCACACACAAAAACAATATGACCGACAACATTGCCACTTCACGAGGACGCACTATGCGGAAAGATTAAATATAAACGAAATAAAAATAATTTGTACACGATCTTATGTAGTAAATTATGTAATTTTTCACATTTACAACTTATACGATAACTTAACGATAATAGGCTGCGTCATAAACGACATGGATACAACTATATTACTGAGGTAAACTATATAGGATTCATCATTGGGCGGCGGACGTCACGCGCCGGCCCTGATATGGAACTAACTGCACGACGCCTCTCCTCTGCCTTTAATACCCTACATCGTCATCTGCTATGCGCACCTCTGCGCAATAAATAACTATAAATTCAGAGAAGGTACTAACTTGCCGTTTAGACTACTAGTCCGCTCACTGGTCGCGTCGTGCAACGCAATCGACTAAACTAAGCCAAAACGGCTTTCGAACAAATATATATTTTTATATCGGCGCAAGAGGCACTCTCACACGGCGAATTGTACTATTAAGTGCATTTTCGTTCCTTATCGAAATATGCGGCTGCCAGACGTAGGAGGCGCAAGTGTGAGAATGTCTCGCGGTTACGTGTAATAAATAAAACAACGCGGCGATCGAAACGAAATTAACTAGCTACGCTTACAGCTATGATTCGAAGAGCCGGGCTTCGGCTTGAGGTAGATAATACGCGACGCGCGGTCGCTCATGACGTCACTCCACATCAACGTCCCACCGCATCGTCTCACTTGCATTTCACAATTTTAGGACTATGTAAGAAATTCGATTATTTGCATAGTAACAAGGATGTATACGTCAACAGGAGTAATAAAATATATACAAACATATGTCGTTTACGTTTCTCGAATCGATATTAAGATCTTCTCGAGATTGTCGTGAAATGCAAACGTCATCATACGGTGGAGGGATATGTGTTCCGCTAACAGGGAGGAGGCCGGGGCAGAGTGCCGTTGGGCGGCTGAAGGGGCTGCAAGGGCTCCGCCGCCGCATCGTCCGACGTCCGCGACCGCAGAGACGAAAGCTCGCGCACCCACGACGCCAGGCGCCCCGACACCCCGAACAGGTTCGACCCGGACCCGCTCGCTACAGCGCCCACGTTCATTTCCTGCACCTCGGTATCATCTTCTGGAAATCGAAACATGCCCATGATAATGTATACGGATTTTTTCTAACTCCTAATAGGCGCTAAGATTATAATCGGCTTAACTAAACCTGAACTCGCATAATATCTCATTAAGCGACGAGTTTGAAACCAATACAAGCCAGAGGTCATGCCATCAGAAGCAATCTATTGAACAGCGAGAGTTAACTTTTACGCCGTTTCTGAACCATTACATTTTCTTTAGATTACGCGTGAACTACACATTTAAACAAAACTTCCAACGGACAGCTAGAGACTGACGCATCAAGTTGACTGGTAACACTCGAAAAGTCGAGTTATATTAATGTAATTAGTTTACGACGTAAAAGAAGTTTTATTTAAACGTCTGAACCTGTCTAGACCGGACAGAAGCATCTATAAGTTATAAAAAGTATTAACATAGCACAAGTGCGGTACAATGAGAACCATACTAAATGGTTTTATTGACAGGAAATGATAACAAAATATGTGCTGGTGATAGTGGAAGCATGCAAATGGTACCACTTACGGTTAGGTGGAGGCCGTCTGCTCTCTACTAGCGTCTGACGGCATGATCGTGCAAACAAAAGAACAACCAATTATACAACCGAAGACTACAAGAAGTCTAATTGTATTTTGTTATCATTTGCCCGAATCAGTGTTTAGGCTATTTAGTTAACATAAGTGGTTATTCGTATTTAAACTTTCGTTGTAAAAAATGTGAACCTTAATCCTAAGTATGGACCTTTAAGTGATAGACTTTAAAATAGAAACGGTAAAGTATTCATGTTAAGATGTGGTTTTGAAATCGGTTGAAACGCTTCAAAAATCATGATGTTATTATCGTAAAACGCTAACTGAATAAAGGGCTTTTATGTCAGATGAATAGATAAGTTCAAATACCTGCAGCAGTCCTCTGCATTGCGTACATCTCCTGTCCCTGCGGCGTGTGATAGAAGGACCTATGCCGGAAGTAGGGCTGGGCTGAGGGGGCCAGTTCCGCCACCAGTTGGAGGAAGCTGGGTCTCGCTGTGGGTCTGTGGGCCCAACAGGCTCTCATCAGCTCGTACAGACGGTCGGGGCAGTGCTCCGGACGCTCCATTACCCCCCCTTCTACCACGTAACGGACCACTTGCTCGTTCGACAGACCCTGGTAAGGTAAAATTTGCCAATTAACTACTTTTGCATACAATTTGGCACAACATTTTATTATTCTCGTATCGATTTAATAGTTTTACTTGACTTCATTGATTCACATGAAAATGTGACACAAATTGCTTAAAAGAATCTGCATGTCTTCCTTCTCTTTTCATCATAGCGTAAATAGAATAAACCAGAAAGATACGAAGGATTACTTCAGTTAAAAGAGTGAAATTAGAGTAATTTTGAATGATGAATATGGTAATTGAATCATTATCTTGAACTTTTCGGAGTCGTGTTTAACACGGTCACATTTACAGTTATGTCAGAGGTACAAGAAAAGCAAAACACACCTGATAGGGCTGCATAGCAAGTGTTGCCATCTCCCATAAAACTACACCATAACTCCAAGCATCCGTGTTACTTGAGAACACCTGAAATACAAAATAAAAAAATATAGGTAACAAAATAATAATAATAATTAAGTGCTTCAGGACGACTCGATAAAATGTTTACTCTAATTTATTTTTTAACGCTTCATTGCATTAACATAATTAAATGAAGAGGAGGGCAACTGGCGGCCCTATCGCTTTCAAACGATCTCTTCCAAGCAACAATTGTGAGAAAAAAAGGTAGCAAGCAAGAAATGGAAAAATTTAATAATCTGTTTGTATATTCCAATTGGCCACATACCATGTTTGGGGAGCACATATTTGTAAATTTAATATTTTAACTTAAATTTTATAAAATCAAGAATAGTCTAAAATAAATTAGAAAAATTACTAGTTTTCAAATAAATATGCGGTTAACTCACCCCGTCCTTTAAGCTTTCAGGGCTCATCCAACGAACGGGCAAGAGTCCCTTCGTGCCCTTCCTATAATAATCAGTCTCATAAATGTCTCTGGTCATTCCGAAGTCCCCTACTTTGACAGTGAGGTCCCCGGCGACCATGCAATTGCGCGCCGCTAGGTCACGGTGCACAAACTTTTTGGCTGATAGATAAGCCATACCGTCGGCTATCTCTATAGCCATCTGAAATTAATATCACAATCATTAGCGTGTAAACATTATTAGCAGATATATAATTTGCATACTTTACATATTTTAACAAATGACAACTGTATTGTCAGGATATTCATAAGAAATGACTTGAGTTGTTACAAACAAACATGTATGCAGGGTTTTTCTGGTTCAACTCAACTTTGGCGAAAAACTAAACAAACATTTAGTTAGTTAGTTTAGTTTAGTGCAACGTTTGACAAACATTTTAAACAGAAATGTCAAGTTGTGCGGGCTTGTTTCTGGTGCTGTTTTCTTGTTCCCAATATGACCACACCTCCTTTCTGAATTCCTTACAATTACTTCATGTTCCGTTTCCTACTAAAATCTCCTGCCTTTTGCTTTATCCTTTATTGTATTATAATGTATTATCATAATCAATAATAATATTAAGATGTAATATGTTTGTGTACATATTTTGTTTTAACCAGCTTATCCCTTTATATCCTTTTGATGTCTTTGTTTATTTTTTCTCGCGTGTAGTTTCCCAACCTTATACTTGAAACTGGCATAAAGTTAAAACTATTGCCATAATATAAAAAAAAGTCCAGGCTGTGTAGTTAGACAAAGAGTTAAGTTTCATACCTGCAGTATATTCTGCAAAGTTGGCGGGCTCGGTGCGGGTCCCTTCCTGGGTAAAGAAGAATCTGCATCAGGCCTGTGCGAGCGGAGGTACGTCTTGAGGTCTCCCTGCTCCATCAGCTCCATTACAACCAAAGTCGGCTGTCCTCGAGAGACCACGCCCAGGAGACGCACCACGTGGAAAGTGTCGAACGCCTTCATCACTGAAGCCTCGTTTAGGAACTCGATGCGCTCCCTACAAAATAGGAAAATGGTGCTAAAGGTAGTTCTATATCCTAACGAAACATGAATAAGTTTTTTTGGTGAATAGAAAGCGATATTTTTTCTGCCCTATGAAAACAACAAACAAACTTAACAAGGCGTACACAGCAGAATAATGAAATTTTACCTGTCAGTGGCATGTTCATTGACAGTTTTCACAGCGCACCGAGTCTCCGGCTTGCCTTTTTCTAAGTTTTTGGCGATACCTTCATATACCTGGAAAGAAAGTTTATTTAATTATAGAATTATTATGTATATCCTTTATTTTATATTTAACTTTCTTTCCCCTTATGTAATGTATTATGTACTCATAGCGAACAAAGACGTCGAAACAATATTTTATGCATTAAAAAGTCGAATAATATCAAAAAGGATTTCCATTGTACAATATACGCACCATTCCAAAAGAGCCCTGTCCGAGTTCGCGTATACATTCGATACTCGATCGCGGCACCTCCCACTCATCAGGCACGTACACGGTCGACACGTACTCTGGGTTGACTCGCGCGAACAGCTTATTGTTGTCCTGCGTGTGTAGAGCGCGACGGGCGTACCAAGTGCCCAATGCGGCCGCACACACCACTACAGCGCAACCCCCCACCACCCCCCATACCCAGTCGTAACTACTATCTGCACGTGCGTCCTGTATCAACGAGATTAAACTATAATTAAAAGAAAGTCATATTTTCTTTGTTTCTGAGTACAACATATTTAAATAATCTCGCTGACCGAAAACTGTAATATTTTAAAAATAATTAATTGTTGCATAAATTTACGTTTATGTCTTTTACATAAGTTGTTTTGTGTGTTTGTACTATAATGAAAAAAAAAACGTCCAGGAGTGCCGGTAGAAGTGAAAACTTGAATATTAACGTTGTGCATTTTTGATATTTTGGAATGGTTAGAGAATAATTTTGCACGAATTGCTTTAATTATTAGTATAAAAGTACTATCATTTATGTGGTAGAATACAATATTTATTTATTGCGCTATCGTACACAAACATGACAAATTATATTACATTAAATACGCCAATTCAAATACGAAAATTCGTTAGACGGATGTAGACATCCGTCTTACGAATTTCCGATCAGGTCACGTGTCCTGACGCGAGTTTAAAATTTTTTACCCATTCCAAAAAAAGTGTACAACGCCGCTAAAGAAGTTTTCACTTCAAAAATAACCTAGTTGACAGTGAGATTAAATAAAATTTAATGCTTTTTCATATAGTTTAGTAAAGCTTTCTTTCTTTTTATTTGATACAAGACGATCCTAGAGAAAGCTTGAAGACTGTTAACGAATGATTTAAGCCAGACTTATAATAATAATAATTTCACGGTGGTTCTCAATACACATCAGTCTTTTGGCTTGAACTGTATCACAAGTACAAAAAAATATTACCGGTATAAAAATGTATACGTCCGAAGAGACATTCCCAGCGCCACTAACAGTAAGTGGCGTGACGCGTATACTGTAGTTCCCAGACACTAAGGCTCGTATGACGAAGCTCCGCCCATTTCTCTCGTAATCATCAGATCGGATACAGCTTGTCAATCCAATATCCAATTGTTCCTGAAAGTTACCTTGTTCTTTAGTTTTGATTTACACCTATCGTACACAAGAGTGATGATAATAGAATCTATATTTTATAGTTCTTGAGTACATGCTTGTTAAACTTAGTAAAAACGAAACGAAAGTATTAGATATTGAATACCGATGACACACACATGCAACTTGTTGTATATACTAAAAACAAAAACATCTCAAATATATATAAAGTATTACCGGGCTATTATCCGCGACCCTGGAATGATAGACGTTGTAGGCCACGACAAAGCCATTAGGATCGTCTGGAGGTGTCCACGTCACGTTCACTTCGGGAAGCGTTTTATTGGACATAACCATCTCAGCACGCACATTGCTTACGATATCGGCGTTCACTGCAAAATATGTCACAATCCAATACCTGATTATACAGTAAAACTATTAACAAATAAATCACATCAGTTAGCGTTGCAGCCGATAAATAAAAGGTCAATATAACGTAACGTATGAACACACCCACATACGTGTGTGGGTGGGATCCCCTTGTCATGTTCACATATGAAAGGGATCGCAGCATTTTAATATCTAATATATAAAATTCTCGTGTCTCACAACTCCTCCGAAACGGCTTGACCGATTCTCATGAAATTTTGTGTGCATATTGGGTATAACTGAGAATCGGACAACATCTATTTTTCATCCCCCTAAATGTTAAGGGTAGTCCACCCCAATTTTTTTTTTTAATTTTTAGATAAATTTTTTATTTTTATTTTTTTATGATACAGCATTAAAAATACAAACAACCCCTAATTTTCACCCCTCTACGGTCAACCCCTATTTTTTATTATAAATGATAAACATGGCAAAACGACGTTTGCCGGATCAGCTAGTTTTTATATATAAGGCAATTTGATTGTTATAAATATAATACGTGCTTGTCAATTTGCAAAATAAGAATTTTTATATTTTTTTCAGAGAATTCCTGTGTATGTTATTATAGGATCGTTTTAACGTTCGAACTTACGTTGTTCTAAAGTGCGGAAATTGTAGAACGCCCGCTCTGAACACCACGACTCATTGTAATCCTCGACTGTTTCGTTGTCATGCTTCTTACGACACGCCCATATGTTGACGGTATACCATGTGAAGTGGCGAAGATTTTCCACGAATATCGACCGCTGACTCCCATCCACCTCATAGTATAGGGACTTCACGTAGCCTGTAACAATTTTTTTCATTTATAATAGTGCAAACACTGGTCTGAAAGTTCTTCTCTTCCATTAAAACAAAGCCCGGGTGCTGAACCTACGGAGGACGCATTTAACAGAAAGCTGATCACCTAAATAGATCCATGCAAAAGTTCTATGAAGGGCTATAGGGCCACTGGATGCATGAATTTGTGCCTGCTTCAAAAATGTATGAGGAAGTTACTTTCTATATTGACCTACATGGTAAGATTCAGAGCGATTGGATTCTGAAATACGGGAGTCTTAGTTCGCACCTATAACGATTTTTGTATATCTATATTGACATCTTCTTATTATATTCATGTCTCCAACTCGCAGTTAATCTGATTTAGATATCCGTATGTGAAAAGGAAATAATGACAAAACGACCATCACCAAGTTTCAATGGAAGCATTCGTCCAAGTTATGTTACAGTTGGAATTATAAATGCCATGCAAAAGCGGTGCTATTTAAATAACCTTAAAATTTTTACCTTCCCATTAAATTCGTTTTTAATATACTAAAATCAGCATGCAACAAATAAGTTTAGTAGTAGCGGATTTTAACCTTTTTTACGTTCCGTAATGACGCAATTGTTATACTTCTCTCGACTGCATTTTACTGAAATATAATGAAAAAGCAAAAATGATGAGCCGGGAATGAAGGTTAAGGTTTCTTTTAAAATATTATTAGTACGTTAAATATGTGTAAGGATAATTCAATGGATGAATGCTGTACTTTAACTGAGTTTTAAAGCGATCATGTTACCTATAAATATGAATATATAAGTAGTTATTCAGTATTTATATACATAATTTCACTACGTTGATGGATATAATAAGGATATAGCCATGGCTTTAGTTTGGTTTATATGCGTTCCTAGCAGATTATGGAGTTAATAGTGATAGAGCGAGAAGACTATACCTCCATCAGTTTCGTTGGTGTAGTTGTATCCGAGACGCGGTTCGTGAATTTCGCTGAGGATGACTAGCATGCTGTTCACGGAGGTGTCTATGGACCGGCGCACGCGACTCGGACTGGATTGACTTGAGCGGCTTCCTTGCTTCACATACACCTGGCAGGATAGGTGGTTTATTTATTTAGAGACCAGACATCATCGTATCTATATTGGGATCGGCACGAATGAGAGATGATTTCTTAATCGCTTATTATATCTGACTTAATAATACTAATCAACACTGATTAGTATTATTTGACAGAAATAAAATTTTAAAACACTTACGCGCTAACGTCAAACAACGCATAACTGACCGATGTTTTTTAAAGGTTTATGTTAGAAAATTTACTGCCTCATAGATACAATTTATTTAGTGATTACCGCCAGTTTAGATTTCTAGTATACCGTGTTGATTTTCTATAGGATATAATAGAAATCTATTTAAAATTTTAGAAAAATGTCGGAGCAATGGCGCAATCAGCTGCCATTGTAATTGTAATGATTCTAGTGTTGAAATTAAATGGCTGACGCCAACAAACTAATTTTTAGTTTCAGTATTGCTGACGTCATTATATTAAACGGTTTCCCTTCACTTTCTACCTTGCTTTCTCCACGCGTAATCATATACGTATCTTCCTGTCACTACTCTATCCGTCAAATTTCATAAAATTCGTAACCATATCGTAAAGCACATAAAGCTATATACTTACATGGTTCTGCAGTTCATTTTCAAAGTCGATACTCTCGACTCTTTCTTCTTCGGCTTCGGTGTTGAAGCGCACAATGGGCTTGTTTTCCTCTTTACACGCGCATGTCTCGCTCTTGACGTCACCAGTCAGTCGGTCCTCCTTCTTTTCGACCGGTTCCTCCCCGCGAACCGCTATCATATTGGCTAATGCAGTTGCTATTGAATATATAGTATATTTCTCATTACGAGTATTAGGCATAATCCTACAGAGTAGAGAAACGAAAAATACTGAAGGTTCAAGGAATTTTAATATAGGCGGGTAGAATCAAAAAATATATTTATAACGCCTTTAATGTTTCTACCTTCATTAAATGCATTTATGGCCGAGGTCCAGAGTCGATTTCCGATTAAGTAAATGCTACAACATAGATTCGGTTCGACGAATATAAAATGCAACCACAGAACAGGCTTTACTTTTAACTATGAGTTTAGGTTCCTAAATTCAATAGCATTGTTTCGTTCCATGACCTCCTATAAACTGAAACGTATTGGAATCGCGAAACCGAACTAAAGAAGGATAATTTTGTTTATGTATTCTATAAGTTTTGAATTCATGTCAAACTTGCTTAAATAAAATCTAAAAAATATTTTTAATAATTAATCAATCACAATAAGCTATTATGATTTTAGTATATTATATATTTGTTTTATTAAATATATTTTTTTAATAAAAAACTATTATTTATAAATACTAGTGCTATAGCATTCTTATTTACGCGGCGTCTACTTTTGTAGTACCTATACTATATTGATATACGGTCTAGGTGTGTAATTTATTATGCTATATTTTCTACACGGAGTTATCGTTGAAGAAGTCGCAAGAGACTTTGGTAAAATTCACGAAATCAACGCGGGTAAAAGCTGGTTTAAAATAATATATTATATTTTAGGGAATAATGTTTTATTGTTTTTGTCATACTATCTACATACCCGATTAATTTATTGAATATTATTTACATAGTTTGTGCAATTGTGTATAGGTAGGTACTCTGAAATCTTCAACGAATCAAAGTCGTTGATCTATAGCAAATTATAAACTCAGCATCTTCGAAGTCGGTAGAAGGAGATTGTCGTCTTGTTTCTTATCACTGATGAATAATTTAATATCCGAAATATAACAATTATAAAGTTTGTTCTATATTATATATCTTATTAATCTTACTTTATGAACTAGTTTTAATTAAAATATTTGACACTTCGATAAAAAAAACTTGAACAAAAAGGACTTTTTAGAATCGCTTCTTCTGTCATAGTTTAAAGGCGAACCGGGCAAATTTTGTGTACAGTCGCGAGGTCATGGTACGTCATTCGAACAAGTGTATCTCAGTCGTAGGTTATCAATAGGCTCGCAATAAGAGCTCATAATAATAATAAGCCCGAGGTCTTAGGCATTATTCAGAGTTGTGTCATTCCCGTATGACAAAAATGTATCAAATGACATACGGGAGTAGACAGTGAATCGTACATAAAAAAGTTCAGCAATTTGGCCTAAACTATAAGAAAATGTTACTTACGATTGCTACAGTAGTTAAGATTGTCAGTCAGTATCTTGTGCTGGTTGTACGCGTTGGCCTGTACTTCTATTCGGTACGACTCGATCGTGCCATTCGGCATCATCGGCGCCTGCCATTTAATAATAGTCTCGTGCTCTCGAAGATTCTCTACTGTCACACTACGAGGTGGGCTAGGATCTAAAATAAATTCATATTTATTTCATAATTATTATATAGATAAAATTAAACGTGAATGTCCAAAAACTTTGTCAAAATTAAACGTTAATTGCGCATTCTCAGAATGTATCATAATCTAATATATAAAATTCTCGTGTCACAATGTTCGTTCCCAGACTCGCGGGGGCATTTAGTTTTTTATAAAACCATTTTGTATGACAAAGTTCTGTTTGCGTTAAGACTTTAGTTTAGGCTGCAGATATTTTTGATTTGAAAATGAATAGTTCGAAGAATGAAAAATCTGTGATTTAAAAATGAGTTTGCATTTATTAATTCTTAAATAACTTACTTCCCGGCATAGTAGTAAAGTATATGATAGGACTTTGTGCGCCTTTCCTGTCCCTTGTCGTGTACGTTTTCACGTAGGCCGCGTATCGAGTAAACGGCTGTAGTGGTGTGATTGGGTGGAAGAGAGGCTGAATATCATTACAAGGGTTTTCCAATAACTTCTTTTTGTTAGTCGGCAACGGTCTTGTTGAATTACGGGCCTCGTCAATCGTAATATCGATAACGTTCCAGCTGTAATTTATAATTAAATATAGTAAGGTGAACAATTGAATGTGTATGACCATATTGTAAGCGGAACCTTTCATATTTTTGTGTATACTTAAACGGTGATAAGCGTGATTTGAAAAACCAATTAAAAAAAATAATAAATTCGTAATAACACGTAAAGACGTGAAGAATAGATATACCCTAACAAATCCAAGATCCAAGTCCAGATTATAATTAGGTAGCAACTTGAAAAATACACCGCCGCCCGCGGACACTCAAATTGCCAGAAGGCTCGCAAGTGCGTTGCCGGCCTTCCAAGAATTAGTACGCTCTTTTCTTGAAAGACCCCAACGCCCGAACCCAATAATCAATCCACAATCTTAGTTTGAAAACAATATGAGATCAGACCGTGACAGTCGATCGATCTCCTATCTGAATCCCAATAACCAAACCCTACGAAGACAATCCATTTTTGGCGATGCATAAAATGCTTTGCGTTGCGTTGCGTTCGATTTTACCGAGTTTTCACTCATATTTGATAATCAATGTAAACCAAATAAAGTAAATAAAACCGTACAATTAACATAAAAATATACATGTGTATGATTAAAACATAACAAACAGATTTTTTAATTATTTAAAAAACTGGTGTAAGTTAAAATCTGTTTAAATAATTAACTGTTGAAATCGAGCTATCGTCAACTGTCATTTTCATACAAAGGTCTATCCACAGACACCGATACGACCTCCCATGGATAGCTTGTATCGACAGATGGCTATTACAATCCGTCGATTGGTTATTGGCACACTTGTTACAACATTTGAATTAATCTCAGATGGTGGATTATGGATTGAGATAGATTATTGGGTTCGGGCATAAGACGACCCTAGTTTGTGAGGAGTATGAAAAGAGAAACTTACGTATCCGAACACGCGTCTCTCTGTCCATAGAATGTGACATTATGTTCCGCTTGTATGTAGTAAATAGAGTATCCGATTAATTTGCGAGTATCCTCCGAACAATACATGTCCCAAGTTAGTATCGCCACACGCTTCACCAGTGAATGGACCTTCAGATGAAGCGAGTCTTGGAAACCTGTGGAAGGTTTGAAATCCAACAATAATAAATATGAAGGAGATTACGATTACTTATCCTGTAAATGCAAAATAAATAAATCGTAGATTAGTATTATTTTTATTTATGTACTAAATATTAAGTTTTTAACACTCAACTTTTGGATGTAACTTTATAGAAATATTACCATTTATTTTTTAAGATACACGTAACTTTGCCTTTTTTGACAATTCCTTTTTGATCCCTACATAACTCTGCTAAAAATGTTGCCATCTTCAAAACCAAAACAAGTTAATAATTCTTAAAAATATAATAAACTACTTACACTTATTCTACTTACAAGAAGCCTGGTCTCCGTTGTTGTCTTTGGAAACGTCAAGATCAGTGAAGGTTGTCATTGGGCTCAACGTCATATTCTTCAGCATTTCTATCTGGCTATAGCAGAGCTTAGGATTAAAATGTACGAAAAGTCGGCCTGACATTATTTGTATTTTCTTGCCAGAGCTCCAATCCCATAGCAGTTCAAGGTTTGGGTTGTTGAAGATGTGTAGGCTTTGTCCCCTATAGAAAGTATTTATTTCTTAGTTTTTATTTATTTACAAAATTATATTCTGATATAGAAAATAATTTAGCTAAATTAAAAATATAAATCAGTGACGCTACAACCACTTTAGGTTTGGGCCTCAGATTTCTGTTTCATGATCATTTTTCAATCTAATAGGTGTAGGTAAGTAAGGAGGCAAGTAGGTGATCAGCCTCCAGTGCCTGACATCACGTTCGAGCGAATGTTAAATGCGCACATCGAACATGCGAAAGAAAGTACATTGGTGCACAGCCGGGAATCGAACCTACGACCTCAGAGATTCATTAGGCCAACACTCCTCCTCTAATAACTAATCAAAATCACACTTGTATAAAACGCGATCATAAATATATAGTTAAACTTGATAATTTTTAGTGACGTTTTTGTAAAGTAAGTATAAATTGATGTCGTTGACATTACACTCACTTGTCGGTGACACTTCTGCCGATTCGTTCTAGATTCTTGAGGAACATGAGCGATACGAGTGGATAAGAGCGCACTACTCTTAACGGCCCGTCAATCTCACGAATCGCGCCAAGAGCGTTTTCCAATACGGCCATTGTATTACCTGCAGGGAATGACAGTTGAAATATACGGATGAATGAATTTACTGTCTTTTAAAGACAGCGAACATAACAGCATTTGTTTATTTTTTAATAAGCGTAATCCTAAGTAAGCACGTGGGGCTGGTCGTGTGCTTACTTTCGGAAATCCAACCAATCGGAATATGAATTATAAAACAGATTGCGCACATGTACACCTCTGCCTAGACATTTGTGCATAATATCCTGATTGATGCAAGCCAATTTTCATAGAGAAGGCGGATAAACGTTTTTTAAAACTTTATTAAATTATTAGCAACATCAAAAAAATACTTTTAAAATTCCCACAGACCACAGTTAAATTCAAAACAGGAAAAATAAAGAAATTAATTTCAATTTAAATATTATGATTATATATTTTTTTTATTAAATTTTGCGCTTTAAAAATTGAAACGCTCTGTATGGCAAATAGATCGCTAACATCTCTTTTTATACACCCATATACAAAAAGAGTTCACCCAATAAACATCGAACAAAGTGCAAAGTTGCACAAATATAATCTTTTAACAATTGTATAGGCAATATGTAGTTTTAAAAATGCTGTTTTCATTTTCCCATATCAAACAATGGACATGTTATTAATTTTGATAATATCATACAAAGTACTATGTGGGGCTCACATGTGTTGGGTCCACAACTACAATTTACATACGCCAATATGTGATAGACATTTTTTTGACTCATTGTGGCAGACGCTGTAGACGCCAATCATTGAATTTGTAAATTTTATTTCTATTTACGTAATCCACTGTATAAATATAGCCAAGGAAACCCAAAGTTGAGACACTGTATTCTATTAACATACTTGTAGGGAAATTCAAGGGTTTCCTTCTACAAAGCATAAATCAGATCGGAGTAGCGTCCATAGTAACATCTTGTATTTTTTTGACTACCGCTTTTTGGTACGTAAAATAAACTACTAAGCTTATGCCAATTTAGATAACTAACCTCCACTGGCCCGTAACGCGATTTCCAGAAAACCTCGGATGTGGGTACAGCCACGAAACTTCTCAGCTGATGCGACGCTATCAATTTTCCCTCCTTCGCAGTCCTGTTTACATCCAGTGACAGGACACGGCTTACATAGTGAATTGTGCGGCTCCCCTGTCTGACACCACGACACGCTATATTATAATTGAGAATAAAGCAATATTCTTCGGCATTATAGGAAGATCTGCTCTTGGGATTGTTTAAAAATTTATATTGCTAAATTTATGGTTTAGATTTTATTATCCTATTCTCATACATTTCAAATGCTAATGCTTAATTTGGAGGAATAACGAACGTATTTCGAAAATTAATAGCTATTTTACGGGTAAATAACACGGTATGAAGAATTAATTTCGACCTCATAAATTATTTAAATGAGCAAAAGTTAAATGCTTTTCATTAAACATAATTACGTAATTAAGCATCTAATTAAAACCTTTATTAAATTAATTACATTAACGTTTGTAAAGAAAGAATAACATTTATTGCCAAGAATTATGGATACAACTTCGGTAAAAAATAGTATCATAATATTTATACACAATGAATCTTTTTATCATTTTCATAATCGTGCAGATAAATTTTAATGTAATGCAGATAATAAAAATGTTATTATATTATAACGCATGCAAGGCTGCATGTTTTAAATACTTAAAAGGAAACCATTGTGACTTAATGATTCATTATTTAGGTTTTTATTATGTGCACGTGGTGCCATCTAGTGGCATAAAAGGAGTAACTACTAATAAAATTAATGATCATTAGGAAAGCATTTAAATTGATACACAAATAAACTATTGACGCTAAAAAAGAGGGGAGAACTTTATATCACTATCAATAAGTAATTCGATAACAGGGCGATTTAAGAAATTCGTAAAAAAAATATTGAAATGTTTCATAATTATATTGATTACATTAAGGCATATACGAGAATATATTACATATAGACTAGACATTTAATGAAAGAATGTTTATTGATCATAGTTACTAGTATTTATTAGTACTTCAAATAAATTTACATGCGGGTATTAGTTTTGCTCCAGTAGTGCGAAGGAAATCGTTGATAGCTCTTACATGTGGCACAATCATTACTTGTTTACGTTAATTACTGGATTATAATATAACCTTAGTGCCCACAATTTTAGTTTTGTTCCGTTACGTGAACCAATAATTATTATTGGTAAATAAGTTGTAACTGTGTTCGACGTGGACTGAAGGACTATCCATAGTGTCTCCACCATACTATTATAAACTCTTCTTTTTATAAACTATGAATACAGTCAAAGTCTATTATAACGACATCGAAGGGACTACTCATATTTGGTCGTAAAAATCGATAGTCGTAACAGTCGATAACGTTGTTATTAAGTAACTAATATATACTTATTATTGAATGTGTGATTAATATACTCATGTATAAAATAAAACCACATTTTATTTTCTTCACATGAAAATTACAATAAAAAGACATTACGTACATATAATTATCATTTGTGTACATTAACAAAATTTGTTTTTTAAAGGCGGTCTGTTAGAAATTAGAATTCAGCCGGGACCTTTGATTGTGTCAATATAAGCGATATGTTGTTCAAAATAAAACGATGTCGTCGTAAACGGTTTCGACTGTATAATAATAATAAATAACTTTGTGGTAGATATAAGATGATATACATTAAGACATGCATTGTAAAATTTAGTTTTTTTTTAATGTTAACAGATTCACGTATGTATTACCTCCATATACCCGCTGGGACACGTGTAAACACATTTGTTGTTGTCCAATATCTTGTATGCCTTGATATTTGGCTGGCTTCGACCATCCATGGCTTGTGGGATTGGCATAGACCGGCATTCTTCCTCTGATACGCAACGTCGCGCCAACTGTTAATACATTTTTTTGTTGAACAACATTATTGGCCATTGCGAAGAAACATTTCTATATACGTCCAAACGGAAATATATAATTACTCAGGAATTAAACCCAGTACTGATTACTGGATATAAACCGAGCATTTTATAAAGCGACGCGGCAATTTTTATTAAGTCAGAGCTAAAGAGTAATGGCCTCTTCTTCGTAGTAAATCTATTTGTTGGTTCATATATACCAAAGTTACTAATGAGTACACAAAGTATCGATTATAGCAAAAGTAAAGTTTATAAGCAAATATATAAGATAGAAACATTTGTTTTAATTCAAAAAGGTCACTTTTATGAAAAATATTTCATTAATTATAAATACATGTAATCTCTTTATAACGTCATTCGTTATAACCAATAACTCTCTATAAGGTAAAATTTATTTTTATTTGGTTTAACCCAATACCCATACATTAATTCTTCTCTCCCTATAACGAAACGTCTCTATAATGAATCAAAATGCTCGATCCCTTGAAAAACGTTATAAAGAGTTTACACTGTACTATCTCTTGAACTCACCTACTGAAAGATGACAAATCTTTACTATGTAAAAAGACACCTATAAAAATCTTCTAAGTTTCATGACACTTCAATCAGGCAATTACAAATATAAGAAATACCTGATAGGTGTTTGCAGGACACCGTTCTACGCAGGTTCGTTCTGCACCATAACGAAAAGAAAAATTCGCACAAACGTGACAGTCGCTTGGCTGGGGTCCATCACAACCGCCCAGACAGGTCACGTTACAGCAGGTTCCATTTTCTGTACAAGCCCGCTCTCCACAAGAGCTGGGGCACTCTGAAAGAATTATTTAACTCTTTGAACCACTTGATCGCTTCAAGCTGCTCATTTTACTTCCATACGGAAATACCACTTGGTTATTGAAAATCTTTGCCATACAAACTTTAAAGCTTTAAGAGCTAAAAGCTTTTCAATCAAAACTTCCGGCAAGTCTGGGTATTAAGGATAAAGTTTTAAATGCAAAACACCTAATAAAATAAATTTTGGTCGTATTTAAATGAATATAATTTTATTAAATTCTACGATTCAAATTAAATCCAAGATTATTATGGCTTTATTTAAATACATATATTTAAACGATGCATTTGTTTTTACACTACTTAAAGTAAACTCTCTGGACATGGATTAAAACGTGACCCTAATATAATTCAAATTACATTAACATTCATGCCGTCGGATTATACAAATATATTCACCGAAAAATTCCACCCTAATGCTTGTAACTTACAATAAACATCACGAAAGCCGGCATAAGACAACATTTTTATGGAGCATTTGAACACACGTAGAAATTTTATTAAAAGAGAGTAATTGTATTGCCCGTGTCTGTTACGAAACAAGTTGAATAAAGTGGCTTTCACAAAAAATAATAACACTAGTCGATCAGGTGTGAAATGAATGATGAGAAATAAATTATGAGAGCATAGCTGTACTTATCGTAGAGTTAAAATTAAATCCTTAGTAGTGACCATTTAGAAGGTTAATATACCAAAGTACGAAACAGCAGGTGGTACAGGGCAGAGAGTGGCACAGTACCGACAGAAATGGCGGGATTTAGAGGCGGCCTATGCCAAAAAAGGGCACAGATATCTAGGAATGAATGGATGACAGAAATATTAGTGTCTTTAAATGTAAAGTTTCTGAAAAAATAAAAGGCTTTTAAATTTAGTAGCACAGAGCAGTAATTTAGTGTTTTTAGAAGGGTGATAATATTGCGAAGTTTATACTTGACACTGGCTAATGCACAAACCGTGCCAGAGCCATAAAGAAAGATAAAAAAAAATTGCGAAGCTATTAACCTCTCCTTTGACAATATTTTTCATCCCAACAGAGAAGATGGCCCGATGGATCAGCAGGACATTGCAAGTGTTGCTGTCTATGGTCTTCTAACCGACTTTGTGCGTTGGGGCATAGTCCACACAGGCGAGTGTCGTAGTTCGACTGCAAAACAAGTTGATTAAATATTAGAAATAAAACACGTCAAAAAGCAGTCGCTTCATAACGACGTACATTTATTGTTATTTTAAAACAATTCAATTCTTGCATTCATGTTCAACATTCACGGAATTCTTGATAATCATGAAAAACATCTTTAAGAGCATGTTCAAACATTAAATTGAAGTGGCTATAAATTCATATCAATAACGTATTACGAGAAAACAGCATTCCTCGTATATTATTGATGTGTGAATAACATGCCGCGTACGTGCATAAAGTATTCGAAACGGAACTTACAACAAAGTGATCCCACGGTCCGATCAAACAAGTTTGGTTGGGCGCATTATTGTGCGAGAAAGACTCGCGATATATGGTTATATCATAAACAGTTTCCAATTCATTGTAAAAAATGACATCCGAAGTAATTTTTGATACATATAGCATATAGTTTATTTTGCCAAACAACGATAATTGCCTATACATATATATTTTTACTTTGTATGTTTATATATTAACACTACTAATATAATTTGGTAATTACCCTGATAATATTATTACTTCCGTCGATCACTATTTTTGACCAATCAATAGTGTTTATGTAGCAGAGTCTATCATTATTCTGAATCCGGACCGCTCCTCTCTCGATCCGAGTAAGAGAACGAAGACCCAAGGACTGTAAAACGTAATAGTGATCAATAAATGAATAATGTATCTGTCATAATTGTCTCATTACACAATACATATTGTTCTTTCTAAATTACCCATAATTAAAATCACACAAAGATATAATAAAAAATTATAATTATAAGATATAATATTAAATATTAAAAAATAAATGACCCGCTATCTTCTGTATGTAACAAATATTCTATTCGATTCAAAGTAAATAATATTTAGATGTTATAATAAAAAAACAATGAAGCGATAGTTCAATTGAAGAACATACCTCAAGACCTTCATTATCAAAGATGACGAGGGCATAGTCCTTGAACAGCTGCAGGCCTCGTATCACGGCGAGATTAGGAAACAGTTCACCAAGATTCCGTACGCCCCGTAATCTGAAACAAAAGGTTTAAAACAAATTGCTCGTCTACTTTCAGTATTTCTACTACAAAAATGCGATGAATATAATTTGTGGTTTAGGAACTTTATAGGCAATTAAGTCGAGTTATCAACCCTGAGTTCGAGCGATCGAACCCTGGTTGTGCACCAATGTCTATCTATGTGTGCAATAAATAGTACAGATATAGGAAATACCAACAAGTCTAAGTCAAGCCAAGTAAAGTCAGAAATGCTATTAGCGTAAAAAAACGTTGGCTGATACTGTAGTAGCGCTACTAATTTTATAACCAATCATTTAACCCTAGATAATTTACTAAGATCTCGAAGGCAATTAAGGCTGGGTCGTCCACATTCAGGACATTAGAGGACACAAGGGACAGACTGTTTTGGTGTCATAATCTATTTTCTTTACATATTCAACCTATTTAATCTACCAACCAGAAACAAGTAATAATTAATTCGCCGGGACACGAGTAGAGTTTAGAATATTTTAAGATTTTTTGGGTAATATTAGTTTCAGTATACCTAATTTCCGAATCCAATATCCAATTTCTAAATCATAAATAAATAATAATAAATAATGTCGATTTTCATATGCTGAAAGCACACATAGAAAAATCTACGATTCATCACAAAAAGGACGCGTTTTATATTTCATTGAAAATGCACATACAACTGAAATACCAAGAACTGGTAGCACCTACAATCGTGCACGTGTAACAAACAAAAACAAGTTACAATTACCACAATTTATAACCGCTTACATTCTAGTGAAGTTATCAAAAGAAGTGTAATTCGCCTACGGTGCGATATTGATATTAGCAAATTTAAGATACACATTGGAATTATAACCGCATTATCATAATGATCATGCAAAATTAAAGTTCCGATCCGATAAATGTAATTGCGATGTTTTGAGGTTATTTTGTTTCATTCTTTCTGGGAACACAGTACATAGTATTCGAAAGATAAACATTATCTTGGATGTGCCCTGTATTACTAGATCTTTCATAGTTTGTTTACCTATATATCAATATGTATCCGGTGACTTCGCGTAGATTCGGAAATGTGTAATTTGCGAAGGATAGCGGCGTGGCGCGCTCCATAAGAACTATGTTGAGGTGACCCTCAATCACTCGGCAGTCCTGCAGCTTCTGCATGTGATCTGGGTTATTGCGGATGTCTATCGAAGGACATACTGAAACAAAACAAATTATGTTATACTTTTAACAATAACCGAAATCTATGTATATATAAATTTTTTGTGTACGCTTCAGAAACCCTGAAATTTTAGCATGATATATAATTAAAGGATTGTTTTTATTAAAAAAAAAAAAAAATATTGCAAAATTAAACTTATATGAAATGTATTCTTTGTTTTGTTTCTCATTTCTCAACCATTCAATCACAATGTGCCACAGCGAAGCGTGGCAGGGTACAGCTAGTAACTTATATAAATAGGAGACAAAATGTCCGGATTTCATTTACAAGCCTTTTTAAGGACAGGACCACGATATTTTTAATTTATCACCTATTTATCTAATTCCTACCTAGAATAATTTAATTCCTTGTAATTGATCTGTTATTGTTTCTCAACACTAGTAAATTGACGACCTCCCACAGAGCTATACCACCACATGGAACGATAACGCTGTGAATTAATGTGAAAGTTATAAATTACTGTTTATGATATTTTGGCCAGTTGTCATACAATATATAGCAGTGTTGGCCTAGTGACTTCAGCTTGCGACTCTCACCCCTGAGGTCGATTCTCGGCTTTCAATGGATTTTCTATGTGCACATATGTATGGTGTGGAGATTTACTTCTACGGTAGGCTTCAGACTTAATTACCGTAGATTTTAGAAACATAAGTGTTTTGCTTCCTAAACATTATTTTCTAAATTATGTGAACAGTATAAAAACAAATGTACCTAATGTGAAATTATAAAATTATAATGCAAAACTATGTAAATGTAATTTCATGAAAACAAATTATGCCGTTTTTACTATTTAATTAGTATATTTGGAAAATTTAATATAGTAAATCTAGTTGCACACGAATTGTATTGTAACGTCACGCCGTAGTACTATCGCCGTACTACAATTTACGACTGCACACACGGCTTACGTAAGTAGGTACCTACTCAATAACCAGTCCTCGTGCATAACAATAAAGAACGCTCGCATATTATTATCTTTAATATTATATTTTCATATTCTATTGGGGATTATATTTTCTATTTGGGACTATACATGTATAAAAATATTATCTATAATTCTAAGAACTTATACTTTTATACGATAAACGAATGTTGTTTAAAAATGTATTTATTTATTCCTAGCGACTGACTCCAATGCTAATGTGTGCGTCTTACCCAGAAAATGAATATAATACTGCTATTTGGATATACAAGGGAACAATACTTTAGCATTATTAATTGGATTTATTTAGAGTTCTGAAGGTTAAAAGCAATTGCGTTGTTACATTACGATAGCGGCTACGCAGTAACACCCATAACATTCAGTACGCACGCGCAAGAAACTGCAAACAACGTACCTATTTAATATCAAGAAACTATTATGTAATATCAGGCAAAATCAGATTCAATTAGAATATTTAATAATAAAACTATTATTAATACAAAATACAAATTCAATTTATACTAATATTCAGTATAAAACAATATGATTTGTTTGCTAATTCGAATTTCGAAAATGAATGAGTTAAACTTTGGGCCAAGGCTAAAGAATGCGACACCGAATGATTGTGAATGAATCGTGAACATCAATACGGTAACATCACTGCGTCTTTTTCTCGGTTCCCTCCCTTGTCTGGGCCTCTGCTTCTTTAACTAGCTCACAGAGTCGCTTGATAGCAGTGGTCACAGCTATTTTAATTTCACCCTTTAAAGTACGGGCAGCGTCTAGTTGAAGGAGGGCACTTTGTTGAACGGCTGTTGCCTCAGCAGCTTTGCTTCTATATGTTTTTGCGTTTGTGTAGGTTCTGACCTTCTTTTCCTCATTTGTTACCCCCTCCCACTGGTCAATGCTCTTCCTGACACCGGCGGCCACTACGGATGTCTGCACACTAAGCTTATCTTGTTTATTAGCCTCCACAATGGTCGCGGAGTGTGGTTTTGTCGGTGTGCGCAACCCAAACATTTTTCAATATTACTACAGTTTCTCTGGTCCGACACGCAGTGTACTGTGAAATCTGGCGAGCAATGTACCCCAAAGCGTCAGTATGTCATTGTTGGTACCCTTGGGCCTTGAGTAGTCTATTCTCAGAGCGCGCAATGTACCGCGAATATCTAACGAGCAATGTATGTTAACGTAATATGTCACTGTTGGTGCACTTGATTTCTGTTGTCTTTGAAATGACTTTGTATAACCTCAGGATTAGTTTCGTTTATTTACATTTAGTACTATCTAATTTCACTTTATTTTCCACTTTTCGCGTAGATTTTTTAGCGACTAATTCCTGCAAATGTTTTTACAATACAATTGTTGTGTTTTTAGCACTGATGCACTTATTTTTATCACTTTTATTATATAAAAATCCAGGAGTGATTGACAGCACGTCTTCACGAGTACTCGCTCCGCTCTCGATCCAAACCGAGAAAAAGAATGACAAAGGAAACGAGGAAGAAACAGGAAAAGACAATGATAAAATAGATAACACACGACAGGTGAAATCAAACGGGATGGAGGAGCAGCTGATAAGACTAGGGAAGGAGACTAAAAAGTTAGAAGAAATTACCAAGCTACTCCAAGAAAATATTAGTGAGCAAAATGGAAAGGAAAAGAGACTAGAAGAAAAAATAGAAGAACAGACAACAATGATGAGACAAGTGTTGGAGGGGAGACGCACCTATGCCAAGGTAACGAGCGGCCAAAGAAGAGATAGGCCACCCAACCCAAAACACGGTGTTATCATGGAAAACAGACGTGTAGAGCTGCACTCCATGATAATAGCACCACGAAATGAAAAGGAAACGGGAGACCAAGTAATAAATAGAATTAGGGAAGCCGCAAATGTTAAAGAGGGAGGCATTAGAGTGGATAGGATTAGAAAGATCAAAAACGGAAAAGTAATAATTGGATGTAGAGATCTAGAAGAAAAGGAGAGACTCAAGCAAAACTTAGTGAGTGAAAATGAGCACCTGGAAGTAAAAGAAGTCGAAAACAAAGACCCACTAATCATCCTAAAGAATTTGCTGAATTACAATACAGAAGAGGATATAAAGCAGGCAATACGAACACAAAACAGGAAAATAGTAGAACACATAAGAGAAGAAGACTGGAGGATAACAGAAAAATACCGTCGCAGAGCGAGGAACCCATATGAGGGTCACGTCATTCTTCAGGTCTCACCAAAATTATGGCAAGCGTTGACTAGCGCAGGAAAAGTGCATGTGGACCTTCAAAGGGTGTGGGTTGGAGATCAGTCCCCTCTGGTGCAGTGTATGAAATGTCTGGGCTATGGCCATGGGCGAAAGCACTGCAAAGAAGAGGACGATCTGGTCTGTTCCTGTGCCCACTGTGGAGGAACCCACATGCGGGAGAAGTGCCTCAAATATAAAGCAGCTGAAAAACCCACCTGTATAAACTGCAAAAGGATGGGTTTCGAGAGACAAGACCACGGAGCCTTTGACGTTCATTGTCCAGTAAGGAAGAGGTGGGATAGCCTGGCCAGAAGCAGAGTAGCTTATTGCTAAGGGCCAGCCAACGGTAAAATCGATAAAAATAGTGCAGATTAACCTGCAAAGGAAAAGACTCGCAATGAGTGAACTTATTTGTGAAGCACAATCGAGGAAAATAACAGTCGCTCTAGTACAGGAGCCATACATTGGAGCCCTGGGTAGGGTGAAAGACTATAGGGGAGTGAGAGTGGTGCAGTGCCAGAATCCTCCGGCGGGTAAAGTAATAAAGGCAGCAGTGTTAATTTTTGACGAGGATATTGGTATTACCCAATACCCCGCACTAACAACAACTAATGTAGTGCCTATCAAACTGAAGACCACGGCACAAACTGGCATTGCACTAATCTCATTCTACATGGAACCAGACCCAGCCTGTATAGAACCCTATCTAAAGCACCTGGAAACGACGGTGAATGAGCTCAATAGTAGAATAGTGCTAGGGGGTGATGCAAACGCCAAAAGTCCGTGGTGGGGAAGCCCAAAAATAGACAATAGAGGACAAGCCTTCGGAAGTCTGGTAACAGAGCTTGGCCTGCACATACTGAATGATGGGAAGCAACCAACATTTGAGGTTATAAGGAGAGGAACCAGAATAGTCAGCCACTTAGACGTAACAGTGTGCACGAGTGATCTACTGGGAAAGATTGAAGATTGGAGAGTAGACATAGGAATGGTTTCATCGGATCACAATGCCATATTATTCAAAATTAATGCAAAAATGCATCAAGGAATCCAGAGAAAGAGTAAAACAAAAATTTACAACAGTAAAAAAGCTGATTGGGTAAAATTCAAGGAAGAAATGTTAGGAAATATAGAAAATTCTCAGTTAACAGAGGACGTCGTAACAAAGATAGATAAAATTGAAGACTTGGAACAAATTGTAGAAAAATTCACAGATGTAGTAATTAAATCAAGTGAAATAGCAATTCCAAAAATTAAAACCGGGAAGAAAACAAAAATGGTTTGGTGGACCGAAGAACTACAGGTGCTCAAGAAACAGGTTGAGACTAGAAAGAGAAGGATAAGATGTGCCGCAGCACGCAGAAGGCAAGAGGTTGTAGGTGAATACCTTGCATTAAAACAAGAGTATGAAAACCGGATCAAACAAGCCCAAACTGAGAGTTGGAAAAAGTTCTGCGAGAAACAGGAAAGAGAGACAATGTGGGAAGGTATATATAGAGTGATAAGAGGGACAGAGACCAGAGTCCAGGATTTACCACTTCGCAGGGACGGTAGATACATTAGCGAAAGGGAGTCAGCGGAGACCTTGGCAAGAACCTTCTTCCCGGAAGACACTAGTGAGGATGAAACTGAAGACCACAAATTGATAAGAAGAAGAGCAAACACAGTAAATAAAGAGGGACATAACTTAGTCTATGATCCCCCTTTTACAATGACTGAACTCGAAACCGCCGCTCTCAGTTTCAACCCGAGGAAGGCCCCCGGAGAAGATGGCATAACGGCGGACATAAGTTGGCACGCGATAAACGCGGCGCCTAACTTATTCCTCACCGTCCTAAATAAATGCCTGGAGCTAGGGTACTTCCCCAAATTGTGGAAAAAGGCTACAATAATTGTATTGCGCAAACCTGGTAAGACAGATTATACAAACCCGAAGTCTTACAGACCCATAGGCTTACTACCTCTTCTAGGCAAAGTATACGAAAAAATGATAATCGCTCGGCTAAAGTGGCATCTAGTCCCGAAAACCTCGAAAATCCAATACGGATTCATGCCCCAGCGGAGCACTGAAGACGCCCTATATGACGCAGTCACACATATACGCGCAAAGCTGAAACAAAAGAAGATACTAACAATCGTATCACTCGATATAGAGGGCGCATTTGACAGCGCTTGGTGGCCGCAAATTAGAGTCCGACTGGCAGAAGAACAATGCCCATTAAAACTAAGGAAAGTAATGGATAGTTACTTACACGAAAGACAAATAAAATTAACCTACGCTGGACAAACGGTTGAAAAAGTAACTAACAAAGGCTGCGTTCAGGGTTCAATAGGGGGACCAACAATGTGGAATCTAATATTGGACCCGCTCCTACAGGACTTGCGAAATGGTGGTGAGTACGTCCAGGCTTTTGCGGATGACGTCGTTTTGATAGCGGAAGGAGAGACCGGTAGTGAGATCCAGCAGAACCTCAACCTAACATTGAACCGGATACATAGATGGGGT